TTGGTTTTAATTACATTGTGTTTTATTTTTCTCCGATGACACTTTAATGTGCAGATTAGTAATAACGCCGTGCACAGGCGCATATCTAATGCAGCAGCATGTGTCGTGCATGTGTCTCTCCAAGCCACAGGGCCGGTGTGTTTACATAAATATTTCCATAGCTACGGTTGTTGATCCTGGCCTACAAAAAATTTGACCAGCAGCTGTGCACGTCGGGCTGCAGAAATGTCACGCTGTTTCTTCTTAATATTGTTTGAATATATTCTTATAAAAATATAAATAAATAGCTTCCAATTTAAGCAGCAAGCACGCAGATTTTGGAAACTTTTACGCACAAATCTGACGCAAACAGGAGCCTTTTAAGTTGCTTCTTTTTCTGAGTTGCTGAAATCCAAATTCCTCTCGTTCTCTGCGTTTATGGTTTTTCTATGGAACAAAGGGGATTTAGCGTTACTACAGCCATTCGCAGTTTTATGGTGGACGTAGAGAGGATTTTAGTGGTCAAATTCAAGTGCTGTGTCTGGACAGCTGTCTGCTTTCTTTGTACTTGGATGCAGGATGCATCATGTGAGACAACCTTTTGTTTGCAGGGGTAGTAAACAAGATAATGCCATTGCCACGTTTTCACAAACACGTCTGCAGCAGACTGGTTTCCAGCGCTCAGGTTTGGTCTGGTCGGGTGGTGCTTTTGCGTTTCCAGTCTGAAACAGGAAAGAAAAACAGGACCCAGACTCGGTTTTACGCAGACGATTAATTTTTTTCAAGAAAACAGGTGTCACTATAGTGTGACAAAGTGACTGCGTTATTGGGTAACTATTTAGGAGTCTATTGAAACATTTAGGAAGCACCCTGTGTTCCGAAACAATGGGACATCATATTAATTTCACCTCGTAATAATATCAGATAGTCTATAAAGACTCGAATGGGCCTCAGCAGGACAATTAAAAGTCTAAAATGACACAGGAAATCACACACACTCGCTTCTTTTCTCAAAACCAATCATTTTATTGCAGTTTTATTTATTCTTTGTAAGTCTGTGGAAGTTTTATCGGTCTATCACTCACTGGTAAATGACAACAAAAATTAAAAAGAGGAAATAAATAGACTAGACGCTACAAAACACCAACAGGGGCCTGTTTTATGTGAGAGGGACATTTTCACACAGAATGCTTTTATTGTCTACATGTGAACTTGTGATGCAGAATGTTCGTGTGTCTACATTTTTATATTGATAATGCATTGTGTTTGCACTTTTGTGGGTTTGTGTTCATGCAAAAAGGGCAGTTTAGTTCCCCCTCTGGAGGCGAGGCATGGTCCAAGGGCTTCACCGGTAGTTTTCCAGCAGGAATTCCAGGGACACTGGTCCAGAACTGCACTGTTGCCCTCCATGAACTCTGTCAAGATCCAAAGTCAAAGCTAGTAATGAGTAATGAGAGCAGTCCGATTTCTTTAGCTTGCTCTGTAAACATGCATGCTGGGTATTGTGCAAAACCGCCGGATTAGCCTCACTTTACAACATATTTATACTCGACCACACCGCCGTCACCGTGACTGGTCCCATGGACATGCACGGTCTCCCATTTAGTGATAGAGGAAAACGTATAAATAAGGAGGCAGGGGAATCGATATGTTGCATAAGTAGATGAGTCCAGCACGCGCGTGTTGCGTTCAAGTGTGCAGCAGACACCTGTAAGGTGTATTAAATCAGAATTAAAAAACAATAGGAGTCCTTTTTCATACCTCAGTCACTTGTATGTAACAAATGATACATCAAATAGTAACAATTATAATATAAAAGATTAGCATCTAATTAATTATATATTAATAAAAACCACAAGCCTTAAATAGAAATTTATTTTGTTTAATAAAAAGTGAGAGAACGTCTGGTTTTAGGGCAGATTTGAAATGTGTAAGTATTTATGTAATTCCCACATCTGCTGACTCTTTTGGACTTAGTAAATTATTATGAATACATAGTTTAATAAAATATTAATGAGCTTTTACTCTTGTTTAAGCATAATAATAATGATAATAATAATAATAATAATAATAATAATAATAATAATAATAATAATAATAGCAATAATAATAATAATACGTTTTGAATGGTTTAAAAACATGACTTGCTTATCACTGAGCGCACTCTAGAGTTTGTGCTTTGCCTGTTTAGAAAGGAGCTGTGCTTGTTTAGCTAGCCTACCAGCTGCCCATAAGCATAAACACACTCTCACACACACATACACACACTCTCTCTCTCAAACACACACACACACACACACACACACACACACACACACACACACACACACACACACACACACACACACCACTCTAATTGTCATAAGCCAGCAAACAAGAATCTGTAACTGGTTTTCTCGGTGCGCCTGTGGCGTTAGAAAATTATTCGTTTGAACCTCCTCGGTCGTACCTTAAGCCAACCACTCCTACACATCCAACTCTTCCAAATTGATATATGACAATATCTACTTTCGATCACGTGTCTGCGGGGCGACTTAGACGGATTGCGCGTCATCTCGCCTTCCCAAATTTTTCCCTTCTGCTGCAGCTCGAATCCAAAACATCTATCTATAGTGGCGAGTACGAGAAAGAGAAAGATGTTTAACTCGGTGAATCTGGGCAACTTCTGCTCTCAGACGCGCAAAGACCGGACATCCGAGTTTGGGGACAGGACGGGCTGCGCGTCCAACATCTACCTCCCCAGCTGCACCTACTACGTTCCCGAGTTTTCCGCCGTCTCCTCGTTCCTTCCGCAGGCCCCCTCCCGGCAAATCAGCTACCCTTATTCCACAAATCTGTCTCAAGTGCAGCCGATGCGGGACGTTTCTTACGGCTTGGACCCTGCCAGTAAATGGCACCACAGAAGCAATTATGCGTCGTGCTACTCGGGAGAGGATCTGGTGCATAGAGACTGTCTCCCACCGTCCACCATGACAGAAATGCTTATGAAGAACGAAAGCGTGTACAGCCACCACCACCACCATCACACCCACCCGGGCTCCAATCATCCCTCGACGGGTTTCTACTCCGGCGTGGGCAAAAACAACGTCCTTCCGCAGGGCTTCGACCGCTTTTTTGAGACCGCGTACTGCGGCAGCACGGACAATCAGTCAGACAATTGTTTACAAAAGGGCGAGGTGGGGAAGCTGGAGAACGACTCGCAGCAGCAGCAGCTGCAGCAGCAGCAGCAACAACCAGCAGCCTCTGTACCCGGAGCTCCGGAGCAGGAAAAAGACCCGGACGATGAGGAGGAGCACACGAATTCAGGCTCTTGCACTTCTTCTTCCGCGACAACCAAGGACGGCACCACAAGCAAGAGCAGCCACTCCAGTAGGTACACCGAGGCAGTAAAATGGGGGAAGGTTAAGGGGACTAGCCCGGTGTTTTGTCGGTCAGATTTTATGTGGAGTTTTATAAGCATTCAAAGGATTTTATTATAACCCTACAAAGCTCTTTCTTGCAACTGGAAGAATTTTTACGATGGGAAACCGCTTTGAAAAAAAGAGGGGGGGGATGTTATACACAGACGCTTCTATGGCGAGAGTCTGTGAAAATTTTAAGAGAGAGCTATTGTGACAAATGTTAACTTTGATCATGAACTTGCGTCCAGCTTTTAAAGGGATTTTCGTGTTGGGCTGACGAGTGTTAAAACCAATTGGGCAGAACATTGCTGTTGGTGTCTTGTGAATTATCTTTAGGAGAGGGTTTGTGTGTAAAAGACGAGTTTTATCTGTCTACCTGTCTATCTGTCTTGAATCAACACTTGAGATGCTAAATAACAATAGCAAGACTGACTCTAGTTGAGTTATTTTCAGCTCCACAACTCCAAATTAAAATAATAACTTATATTTATTAATAAAATAAAATATATTTTTATACACTAGATATTATCATTTGAAATGCTGCTGCTCAGGTTTAGCCTCATGGCTTCATGCAGGGTGTGGATAGAATCTGACTTAGTCTGCTGTTTGTGGTGCACACACACACACACACACACACACACACACACACACACACACACACACACACACGCACACACACACACACGCACACACACACACACATACACACACACGCACACCTGTTTGATACGGAGTTATAGGGTGAGGGTCTGAGCAGACCAGGGTGATGCATTCACTGCCAGCAGATTGTGTAAATAGTTAGTTTAGCTCCAGAGGAATGTGGCGCACATAATGCGGTGAAATACTTTTTGTTATTGTGTATTTACAACAGATAAACACGTACTTACAGGGTGTAAGTAGATATAATTTACTCGGAAGTATTTTGGATATTTAACACTCTTTATGGCCGGTTTATCTGATAGCCTCAGCTACTCTGCTTGATGAATGTTGACTGAAATGTTATCATTGCTAATACCCCTGGCAAGCCTCTCGCCACCTCAGCACTAACTTCTGTTAAGCAGTCCATTAAAGAATGCTCTCATCCTGACATTACTGATGTGCGCGGTGCCACTTTGCTTCTATTTTATTATTTAAAATTAAATACATTTTATTTCCTTTACGCAGGCGTGCCTCGAACAAGAAAGAAGAGGTGTCCTTATTCCAAGTTCCAGATTCGAGAACTGGAGCGGGAGTTCTTCTTTAACGTTTACATCAACAAAGAGAAGAGGCTGCAGCTCTCCCGGATGTTGAACCTCACCGACCGCCAGGTTAAAATCTGGTTTCAGAACAGAAGAATGAAAGAGAAGAAGCTAAGCAGAGATCGCCTCCAGTACTTCTCCGGAAACCCCCTGTTGTGAGCCGTGAGCAGACTGTGGCACTGAGGCCTCCTCTGATCTCTGACGAATCCAATGGGCACCACCGTTTTTCTACAGCAGCCCATGCCACCGAAGAGTGCAATGTGACCGTGGACAGTATAAGAAACAGGCCTGCATGGAACATAGTCGCCATTTTCGTATGTCCCCGTGAGCGGGAGGCGATGAGTTTCTACCCCTCAGAGAGGCCTGCGTGGTTAGAATAATCATTTTTATGCTGTTCTTGAATATGTCCTTCTATTTATCTGCGTTGTGTTCGTATAAACATATTTGTTAAAAAAAATAAATCAAGTGTAGCCAATTTCAATCCTTATCGCGCAGACAAGTTTTAGTTCTCTGGTCTGTGTACATAATGTATATCTAATTATTTCTCGACCAGAGTTTGGAAAAAATGAAAAATTAAACAATAATAATAATTATAAAAAAAATCCCAGGCTGCATTTTTCGCTCCTTGACAACTGTGACGTCCAATCTGTGAAAGTATACTCCCTGTATGTGCAAAAGTAGCCTATGCAAAAAGTGCATTCGTGACTGTAAATAGGCGTATGTTGTCTCTCTCTCTCTCTCTCTCTCTCTCTCTCTCTCTCTCTCTCTCTCTCTCTCTCTCTCTCTCTCTCTCTCTCTCTCTCTCTCTCTCTCTCTCTCTCTCTTCTCTTTATCTCTCTCTCTCTCTCTCTTCCCTATTTTCTCCATAGTCCTGCTGCTACATTCTTCAGCACACTGCCCATACGACTTTAATAGCTTTAATGCCAACTCATTAAATTATTTGCTTTCCACTTTGGTGCTTTACTGGAGCTGAGAAAGGATGAAGAGATTGTCAGCCTGTGTATTATTATAATATCCAAATAAAAGACGCATATAGGCCAAGCTCGCTGTGTTTCTGTGCATTTATTAAAATTAAGCTACACATTTCTCAGGAGTCTTTTTGGTTCTAGTTGTGCGTTTTTTAGATGTTTGCTTAATTTGCACACTTCTAATTGCGTTAGTGGCCAGTATGCACGGGTAAAAGCAAAATGTCTGTGTTTGCGCAGATTTTCTCCAAATTTTAAGGTTGTTAAAGCATCTTGTTTGGATGTTTAACGAAGTTGCTGCTCAGATCTTAAGAAACGAGAGACTGGAATGATAACCTCTTTTAGTGCACACTAAATGGAATCGGCACTCTTGGAGTCTAGACACTGCCATAAAGACAGAGGCACTAAATGGCTATTTTTTTCTCTTAATTGCACCGTCTGTTCGAGGGAAATGGTATCCACTTCCGCTGTAAATAGCAAATAAGTAAGACTAGATGTCCGAATAAAGAAAATTGGAATTAAATAGAATTGGGAGAAAAAGGTTTAGACATGAAATTTAAAGAAGTAATTCAGCCTTTGGATCAAATTCTCACTCACGCGTTTGCGTTTTCCTAAATGTTGCCGCGCGCTACTGACACGATGATTGCACGTGTGCATTAAGTACAATGTATAATTAAATGTAGTCTTTGAACTTCAATAATGTCAAGGCCTTCACCTTTAACCCGCTGCAATAAAGTGGAATCAAGGAGCCCGGAAATGTGCGCAGCGGCGGAGTGGGCCAATGGGAGGGAGTGGGAACAGAAAATGGAATGCGTACCGAGACCAACTTTGACCCCGCGCATTAAACTACAACAGGTAACTTTGCCAGCTTAAGCACGTCCAGTAAAACCACTTTATTGTTCTTGTAAAATGTAAACGTGTTCACGCATGAGATGTGTTTTAAAACATGTTTGCATGCTCTGATTTGTATTCTGGAAGGAAAAAATGGGGAGAAAGTTGTGCTGCAGCTTTGGTGCGTCGTTCTGCTGGTGTTTGTGACTGTTGCACGCTTTTTTCTCATTTACTAAATGTTTTTACATATTTGACCTACTTTTGAATCAGAATTAGTATTGAACCCACTATAGATTCGTGTTGCTTTAGGAACGCGTAACTCCGTAGTTCTGTTTGCGTGACCTGTGTGTTAATCTTGGCTAAAACCTTTACGCATAAATTGAATTCAACCCTGCTAGTGCGCCATCAGCATGGACGGAGAAGGGGGGCTGTGACAAAAGGCGCTGCACACAAGCGGAGATCAAGGCTACAGGCACCCACCTCCTACCCCCACCTCCTCTCTCTCTATGCCACACCTACCAACCTTGGCCCTGGGACGGTGACGTGAGTAATTTGTAAGTTTCTCCAACGCCCAACGTCACTAACAGAGAGCACTGCAGGGTCTTTCACGAATGTTGTCCATCAACCACACGGGGGCCAGGAGTCTCCCCGGCATCTCTGCTGATTTGTTTCCTCTGGACGTGACATCAGAGCAGCAGTGATAGTCATAAGGTGTCCTCACCGGAAGTCCGGCACTCTCATCTGCTCTGGAATGCAGCAAGACTCAGTCCGGCTCCTACCGTCACAGAAGTAAAATGGCGGCTTACGGAGATATGTTTATTAAAAGGTAAATTTGAAAGGAGAATTAACAGCAAGACATTCTTGGGAGGCATTTAAAAAAACACAGAAAAAGTGTGCCAAACTATTTATTCACGCTTTGTTTTAAATTCCACAATTAAGATGTTTTGGTCAAACGTTTAAAACCAAATAAGATGGAAAGAGGTGAACTATTTCGGGAAGTTCCCCAAAATGCCTAAAAGGAATGTTTTAGCGAATAGGCTTTTAAAGATGAATTTATTTATTTATTTGGTGGGGATTTTGCTTGTTATAAATAAATAAATAAATGCAAACCCACTCATCTTTCATTATTTACCTGCACGCGTGTTTTTCTTCAGTTTCGGGACTAAATCTATAGGAGAGATTCCTCCACAGATGCTAATCAAAGAGGTTATAGGCTATACACTCGTTTTACACTACAGTGTCTCAGCACCTAACCTGTTCTATTGGGCCATAAAAGCAGCTCCTCGCTGTAAACACCAGCTCCAGCTCTTTCGGGGGAACCAGCTCGCTCTCAGATGCATTTGGAGTGCGCCTTAGGTGTATGGTCACCCAAATAAGGCTTATTAAAACGTGTGTGTGTGTGTGTGTGTGTGTGTGTGTGTGTGTGTGTGTGTGTTTGTGTGTGTGTGTGTGTGTGTGTGTGTGTGTGTGTTTTAATAATCCAACAGTGCTGTACTTTTAATGATGGTTTTTAATTAAACACTTACATGATTCTGGCGCCATAAATTTGCAAGTTGCGCACGGAGTGGACAACAGCACGAAGAGAAAACAAAGCGCAACCTCCCCACATCCATCTGGAAAGATATTTCAAAGTGGCTGCCAGGAGCAAATTAATTGCGTCGCTTCAGTAGCTCCTGTTTGGTTCTGGTCCAGAGCCTGGAGACCCACGCTCCACGTCCCGCAGCAGTCAGCGCCCCTTACCTGTGCGCAATCCGATAACCGCCTCCAGGTTTGCAATCATGCGGTGGATGCGAAGATGATTTAGTGGTCGGTGCGGACTGCAGTTTAGACAAGTGTAAAGACCATGGTAAAATACAGGCACAACTGTGAGTGTGTGTGTGTGTGTGTGTGTGTGTGTGTGTGTGTGTGTGTGTGTGTGTGTGTGTGTGTGTGTGTGTGTGTGTGTGTGTGTGTGTGTGTGTGTGTGTGTGTGTGTGTGTGTGTTCAGGCAGTTCTTCAAATCTTCGTGGAGCGTGCGCACGTAAAAGTTTTCAGTCCTCGATTGGTTTCTAAATCAGCAGGTTCCCTCACAAAGTTTGGCTGATGGTAAAAGTCCAGAAGCTGCATCTGCTCAACAGGAGCTTCTGCTAAAATGTGTTATTGTAAAACAACATGGCGCGTTTCCAGGCGAGGAGCTGAGCTGGATGAACAATCAGCATTCAGCCATGGAACACACTGATTTCTGCTTTTTGTTTCAACGCTTCCTTGTTACAATAAAATAAAGCCACCATAACCTGGAACAAACGTCACCGCCGCGTGGTGCTGTGCTGGTTGCAGATTTGCATCCATCCATGAAGGAATGTTTATTCTGTATTAAAATGTAAAACAACACGAGTGATACTAATTTTATTTTATTGCACAATTTTTTAACTTTAGTTAGATTTTTGTTTCATAATGAAATAACCGCACACTTCTCATGCCTTGTATCATAATCCAGTAAACAACTGGAATAAATGGTTTGGCATTTTATCTGACGTGATTTTCTTTGACTTTCCCACCAGCTCAGAATGCGTTTTACAACACTTTATTAGTTTGTATTTGGGTGAGTCATGTAGGTGGTTCTCTGCAGGAAAGGTGTTAACGTCATGTTGCGTGTTTGAGGCCATGTGTTGAGTAGTGTGGTTTATAATCTGTTTATTTATAAGAATCAGATGCATGTTAAACAAAGGCGAAACTACAAATACTTGAATTTAATCTTTATTTCGTGCAAAACACTAAAAATGATATTCCACGGATTCTCAAAAACATTTAACTTATGTTATTTGTTTTGAGACGTTTTTTCTGCGACATTCTTTTAGATTTTCTCCACAGCGAAGGTTTCAAACACCACCGAGTCATTCTGAATATAACTCCCACGGCACGTGAAGACGCATTTCAGTGTGAGCCAAAAACAACAGCACCCAGACGAGCCACCGAGGCCTTTGACAATGATTCTGAGGTACAGACAGTGAAGGGCAAATTCGCGCAAATCAGACAATAAAACACGAGCACGGCCGCCAAATTGCGGCATATAGTGTCTCGGCATAGTTCGAGTGCTTCTGAAATGTTTTGGTTTTACAGCACATCCAGCAATTTTGTTGGTATTTTTTTTTCTTAGTTGCATCTAAAACAGGATACATAAAAAACTAAACATCTTTAAGGATCAGAGGTTTAAATCATTTGAGCAAAACACACACAACGTTTCGTCTGAATAGTTTTTCACAGAACTCGAACCAAATGTACATCTTTTTTTATTCAGCTAAAATCATGAAAGCAGAGCAGTCACAGTTCGAATTCCACCACTTCAAGTTTATTTTCTGTGAAAATGACCCAGAGCGCTCAGTTCTGCAGCAAAACACATCACTTCAGTCACGAGAAGAACTATAATAAACCGGGACTTTTTGCAGTAATTGACCAGAGTGGAAAAAAATACCTAATTTAACACAAAACCAGAATTCTGAGAGAAACTCATTTGGTTTTTCATTTCGACACAAAAGCAATCAACATATCCAAGAAACCCACTGCTGCAATGTATGCATTCGTATGTAAATTTTCATATATCAAAAGTATTAGACACCTTTTTAACCATGAAAATGTTTTTTTAAATCTGTTGTTCTGGCTGTAGACCATTTAGTTTATTCTAAAAGGGCCAATAGAACATAGTATGTGGAAGTAAGCCTTTTTCCACTTTATGGGTATTTTGGAGAAATTGACATTTCTGTGAAAATAAAAACAAACAAAAAACAACTTGTACTAATCACAGCTCACTGCCTGAGAACAGTAAATCAGAATTTTTAAATCAACACTCATACGACCAAACAAGTTTACAAGAATAAAAACAGGCCTGTGTAACAGTAGCTCAGTAAAGTGATAGGGCAGAAGACTGTGTGTGTGTGTGTGTGTGTGTGTGTGTGTGTGTGTGTGTGTGTGTGTGTGTGTGTGTGTGTGTGTGTGTGTGTGTGTGTGTGTGTGTGTGTGTGTGTGTGTGTGTGTGTGTGTGTGTGTGTGTGTGTGTGTGACACAAACAACAAAGAAGAATTTCATTTCCTGTTACACCTTTATTCCAGACTCACTTCTTAAAGGAAAACATTGTTTAACAGCGACCTTCAGACACTTTTTGTTCATTCTGAAAATCTTAAATGAACACACCGCTTTCATTTTGTATTATTTTATCAAATTAATGCTAACGTGGCTGTTTGTCTTTAAATGCGCCGAGAATCGTCCTTTGGAAGAGAATGTTGTATCTGATTTAGCAGTTTGAATAAAACAATATAGCTCATCTTAATTCAGACATTACATCTCTGTGATTTAAGTTGTAGGTCACGTACTGAGCTACAGCTTACCCCTGTGCAACAACAAATAAAACTAATGAAACATTATGAACGGAAAGCATCCATGACGTTCTCACCTTCCCAGAACTCCTCCAGAACTTACAGAACCCAAACATGATGGTATCTTTAGAACATTTCGACCTTTGTGAACCTAAAACACAAACACTAGAGCAGAGAATCAGATCCATGCCGCAGCAGCAGCCGTCCTTTGTTCTGTCTCCATCAGGCCCGCTGGTCTGTGCGGCACGCGGCCACAAGGTGGCGCTCGTGCTCCACCAAAAAGCCCCCTGTTTCTCCAACTTGACCGCACTGACGTCACGCTAGTCTGGTGCATCAAGGCCACTTCCACGCCGCTATTGGTCTGAAACTCACATGACATGTCTCCCAGCATCCATAATTATGCTACAGGTATTTTTGCACCCCCTCCTAAAGATGTCAGCATCCCACTGTCCTCATTCTCCCGCTGAAATCCCGCACTCCAGAGCAGTGCGACACACCAGCTGAGCTTTACTCTGTGCACGTGCAAATATGACATGTCCGAATAACATATCGCCCGGTAACTTCCTGATGGATTCCTTAATGGGAGGATCATCTTCCTACAGGGGTGAGGGTTACTCCAGCAGCCCCGGGATGTACGTCCACTCAGCTGCAGAGTGCGGATATTCAGTGATGAGAAACATTGGGAAGGTTGGACCCTCTCCTCTGCCCAAGAGAGACGAACTTTCTGCGCTTGGCGGCTTCCAGGATGCGCCCTACCTGTCAACACAGCTGGCCTCGTGGACCCCAGGCTCCAAAAGCTGCAGGGACGAGCAACCTGTTGCCCAGAGTTTACAGCCCTGCTCGTTTCCAGCGGGCAGCGTCAAAGAGGAGGCGTTTTGTTGCCTCTATCCAGATGACAGCAATAAGGGGAAGCAGACAACAGAGTCACCCACTTACATCCGGCTTGGAGACAATGGCTGCCGGCCTGAGCCAAATGCTGCCACCTCCAGCGGTTACTTCCAGGTGTACGGCGGAGAAAGGCCGCAGCAGCGGGGTCCCGCCGGATTCTCTCTCACCCACTTGGTGTCCTCCGGTGCTTCAGCGGCGGAACGGACGAAAAGCTGCACCGAACCTGCGCAGGACACACCGAAAGGGGGTTCAAAAACACACGAGAGTGAAATCAGGAAGGAAGAGAAGGCCAAGAGCGACAGCTGTTCTGAAAACTCGGACGGAGAATTAAAAGGTAGACGACTAAACGCCCCCTCCCTCCCCAACACACGTGCACATATATTATCAAAAGGTTGCGTGAGATAAACAGGATGCAACTGAAACTATCAACTTATTTCATTTATTTATCCACCCAAACACACACACACAACAAAAAGTTAGCTGCAGGTTTTATTTGTCTAGTGGTGCTCGTGCTATTTAACACCTTTCTATTAATGTGAGCTGTTATCACTGAAATAAACACACACACACACACACACACACACACACACACACACACACACACACACACACACACACACACACACACACACACACACACACACACACACACACACACACACACACTTTCATTCGTCATGAACATTTACATTATTCTTGTTTATTATTATTTATTTAGTCATAAATTCTTTTTGCAGCAAACATGTCTCCACATTCTCTATATTTCTAATTTAACTTTATGTAAAAAATGTTTTAACTTCAAGACCAGAAATTGAGAAAGAGCTTCAAAAATTACCTTCTTCAAACATCTAAAAATAACACACGAGAGGCTCTGTGTGGCTTGATTGAAGCAGCAATATGGGTTAAAATAAACGAGTTACTAATTTAAAGTAGAAGGACGCACATTATTTGGTTTTCTTCTGAATCATTTAAACACTTTTTAGCAAATTTGTGAAAAATTTTCATCACACTGTTTTCTTTTTGCTAAACAATTTGTTGCAAATATTTAAAACTTAAAAAATCTAAAGTATTAGAAACTTAATAATTAAATCATTATAAATCATTTAAACAATGGAAACGTGAAACAACAAATGTTAAATTCCTATTAAATGTTATAGTTCAAACATAAAAATAAATACTTTAATTTTATGACTTTTTCCAAAATTAATGGACTGCTAGCGCGCATGAAGGTAGATTTATAAGGGGTTTCGTGCTTGTTTTTGCGTATATGTATGTGTGCGCGCGCACATGCGTGTGTTGAACCCTCACTGTGAATTAAATGTTTTGGAAATGATTAAATGGGAGACCACACACTGAGTGTTCACAGTAGGATAATCATTGCTGTAACTCGCGTGGGTGTGTTTGTGTGCCACGGAGGCGTGATTTCCCTCTGAGTTCGGTTGGATAATTAAGAAACACACTAAACTTATTAATTTTTCTACTCCATCACCAATGATGTGTTTATCTTTATCTTCTTTAATACTAACCATCACATCTAATGCCAGCCAGCTGTGAGCTCATTTTGTGAAATCCATCTGAATCTTTGGTGCAAACTACTAATATTTTATGGGACTCTTATGAGGCCCGGTAGAGACAAAAGTCTCGTCCTCCACTCCTCATTTTGACTCGATCCAATCACGCGGAAGCCACTTTAGCGGTCCTGGAGCGTACTGTTCATTTGTTTGAGGGGAAATTGGAGTGCTCGCATCCAGGTAAAGCTGCTCTTATTATGAATTTAGCAGAATTCTTTTGCCTGTGTGCTGACTGTGTGGGCGTGTGCAGAGTGTTGGTTGTTCTTAAAGCGACAAAATCTCTCCCCGAAGAGGCGACTGTCGTGGATTTGACCGGTGAGGCTGATTATTGTTTTTCTGCTCCCACAGATGATTCATCGGCAGAAAAGACAACAGGAAGCTGGTTAAAAGCCAAAAGCGGAAGGAAGAAGCGGTGTCCATACACAAAGCACCAGACGCTGGAGCTGGAAAAGGAGTTCTTGTTCAACATGTATCTGTCTCGGGAGCGCCGCCTGGAGATCAGCCGGAGTATCAACCTGACCGACAGACAGGTCAAGATCTGGTTCCAAAACAGACGCATGAAGCTGAAGAAGCTCAACAGGGAGAACCGAGAGAGGGAGCAGAGTGCAGTTTACAACTACTCCTGAGGACTCACACATCCAACATTCACACAGACTGTAGATAGACATGCATGCATCATTTTGCACTCGATAAGCGCTCATAAGTTTATAATTTACGCATAAACACCACACACATGAACAAAACGCTGCAAGTTGCAGATGAGATGTTCCTTCTGGAGGTGTCACAATACCTGAAATTTCACTCGAAATACAGAAACACAAGCCGGGTTATTAACAATAGTGGCATGCATAGGATTTTCTTATATTTTGCCACTTGCTGCTTCTTCGTTGTGACATTTTGTAAATGCATGATGGCATTAAACTCTGTCATGGCGAGGGGCTCCAAAACAATAAAAAGGGAGGAGAAAATGGCAAGGTACTAACTTTGTCCTTCCCCTGGCATATAATGGTGAAAATGTGAGGGAGGGAAAGACTGCGGATGAGAGAAAGGAGATCACGGCGGCTTTAATAGAATTGAGAGACCATAACGTTGATTTAAATATTATCCAGGTGACCACAGTAAGTCAAGGTCATAAAATTCTAATGTCAGGTTCGCCCTGGAAAGCGTTGGGGGTGGATTTTATGATCTGCAAATATAATGTGCTGCAGCAGTAAAGATGCGTTTAAAGGTGTGTGTGTGTGTGAGCGTGTGTGTGTGGAGGAGGAAGACTAATCCACGCAGCAGAGCCCACAATGTGCAGGAGTCAGCCGAGGCGCTGGGCTCGGAAGGAACGGCTGCCTCCACCCGGGGGGGATTATGGAGCTTCGGTGGGAGCGGGGGAGATGAGAAAGATGGAGGATAAAAGGGACAGCAGGCGCTGCGGGCTGCAGGGACAATAATTCCAAAGGCTGGGAAGCGAGCACGTGGATAACAACGCGCACCTGTGAGACGTCTGCACGAGACAAGCAAAGGTAGGGCTGATTCCGTTTCCTGTTTTGGAGCCACAGCTGTCAGAGGGCTCCCCTGACAGCTTCAGTGGCACGCTCTGTGCCTGCTCCTGTCACCTGGTTTACATGAAGATGTTTCTTATAAATAATAAGCACGCTGCTGATTGCTTCTCTCGCTTTCTCACTGAAGCATAAAACTGGTTAATGGGCTCTTTTTGCATCATGTATCTGAAAACCTGCTGTTTTAACATGAGCTCAGCAGCTATTTATGGGAATAAACAGAAGCAAAAATTACACTGTTGATGTGTTTATGGGTAAACAAGCCCCGGCATGCAAACATGGCTGTGGATTGAAAAAGAAAGTTGTTGCAGTTTAGAGAATGTACTCGCCTTTTTTCTCTGGATCATAATCCACATGTGCATGTTGTCCTCTTTCAATGGATTTTAATCCCCATTCGCGCGAAGCTGGAGCGTGGTTTAGGTAGTTTCATGTTGTTGGGGTTGGCTTCCTGACTCGGCAACAAGAAACTGCCTTGATTACGTCAGTTCGTCTTCATCAAGGGCACAATTTCCGCTGAATTACCCCCTCTATAGTGACCCAGATCCCCGCAAATGGCATTGTAAATGAACTGGGTAGCGATGGCTGGGACAGAGGAGGTTTGTTTCTTTGCTGCTACTTTGTGGTGGGCTGTAAAAAAAGCCTCAGAGGCTCTCACCGGGAGAATAGGCTGTAAACAACAAGGGGTAAACTTTTAGATTGTGTTGTGTTGCATCTGTCATCACGCGCTGTCGGCTCAGGTTTCATTTTCGCAGCTGCTTTGTGATGAAACAGATAGGCTGGGAGATGAAAACGCTCCTGGACGCAGGACTGAAATATGACACGTTTTTTGAGTCATTAATTTCTCTGATGAATTCTTTTGGAGACGGAGTAGAAAATATGATGGATGTTGCTGCTTTTCCAATGATGTCTGCATTTTCTGTTGCTTTTCTGACCGCTGCAGTGTGGTGTTATGCTACATGTAATTATTTTTGTATTTTTCCCAAATTGTGCAGTATTTTGATTATGTTGCTAAAACCTAATTCTATGAAAACTATAATTTTGATTTTGTGGATGAATGTCGACTCCTTATTTTTATGTGGCCATATGTTAGTGTTAGACTTAGAGGCAAATAGCTTGCGTTAAGCTATATTATAAAAGTGTGTGCGTGCGCGCGCGCGCGCGCGTGTGTGTGTTGATCAATAATAACATGAAGTTGTAATATAAAATGTTCCTTATTGCCTTACATTTTACAACACAATAATAAAAATCACTGGTATACATTTTTTCCATTGAATTGAATGTTTTTAGACACGTGAGAGCTCTATCTTAAGTTGCACGTGACACATCCAATAATTTATCCAAACTTAATGGCATGTTTATTGAAAAGTTGTCTCATGAGGAAGACTTCTCTCGTGCTTGTTCAGGTCACCTCAGCTTCCTCCTTTTTTGGTACTAGAAACACCGGAAGAGACAGTCTGGAATCCAAAGTCATTTTCATTCAGCTGAGTAAATGAGCGTCTCTCTTAGGAATGTCCCAGTGACAAAGACTTTACAGCGCTGGAAACAGATTCACCCTAAAACCATAAAGTCATTTATTCCTCCGTGCAGCAGCAGCGCGCAGGATCTGTACAGATCACGATGCGTTCCTGCTCCAGCATGATCAGACAAGAAACTAACCTGCTCGCGGCGTTTCCTCCTTTTTGATACTTTAAAAAACACTTTAAAATATCTAAACAAATGTGAGGAATCTGAAAAAATGGCGGACTAATTTTTCACCATGTGGAGTTGATTAGAAAATTCAGGCAGATCAGATTGTGTTTTATCCCCTTTTTATGTTGTTTTTATTTTTATTCCTTTCTTTCTCAGGCTGTGAATATTTCGTACGTCATTTCAAGCCACAGAAGCATCGAGAAACTAGAACTATTTGGCATTTATAGATGAAAAGGCCCATGTGTCGACTAACCATACAAACAAAGATTTGATTATTTTCAACTTTTATCCGTAGATTTACACACTCTGTCCGCTTTAAGCCATAACTGAGTGAAACATCGTTTTGGCTTCAGATGATAAGTTTCCATTTGATGTTTTAAAAAGCGCTAAGTACAATTACCTGCACCGACCTCATTTGAATTCAAGAAATGATAATCGCCCGATTAGCAAAATGGGTGCACAATTATCACCTAAATTTGCTGCAGGAGGCGATAAGGCCCAAATCACGGGAACACGAGGAGCAAACCGATTTTTCTAGTTTTTATTATCTTGATGTTTTTAAACCGTGGGGTGGAAACAATTAAGAATCACAAGAAAACCATGTTTCATGTTGTTTTTAGCATGTATGATTAGCGCGTATCTCAGATGACGTGATATATATTAACAATCCAATGCAGATCACTTTTTGGCCATCCAGATGATCACGCTGCGTCTCAGCTGTGCTATCTGTTCAGCACATGGGCTTTATTATTAACTCATGGTATTTCCTTTGGATTGTCCATGTGTGGTTTTAGCACAGATAATATGGTCCACATGTCCAAACATAATGCACGAAGCATGCCTTATTTTAATATTTTATGTATTTTTTGTTTGTTTTTCTTGATAGGAAAATATTAAAATTTACAAATTACAATAAAGGAATTGCAGCGAGTCGGGCTAATTTGGTTAACCACTTGTGACTTTTTATTCTAAAAGGAATGACACATCCCAAACACATTACACGTTTTTACGCACAGAGATGCACGTTTATTCTACAAGGAAGTCATGCATTGATATATTTTGTTCACATATATTTCTTTCAGCTGCACAGGCTGTTACGGGAGACCATCATTCAGATTATATTTTATTGTTAAAACATTTTATAGATTATTTGTCTGAATATGGAAATGCGTAATGACAAGTTTCTAAACCCAAGCCACGTATCTATACAAATTCTTATTCAACGAGGCTCCTGTTTCATATCAACCCTTTTATATAATCTATAAAAAGACATTTTGGATAAAAAGGTACAATCTGCATGTGGGATATCTGCGCTGCGTGGGCGCAAAAGAGGACTTTAACAGTTGCGCAAAAGAGGACTTTAACAGTTGTCTTTAATTAGATTCTCCTATGAAGTGTTAGTCCAATACGCACATGTGCGGCGGTTCACTGTCAGGTTTCTGTCTCTCAGCGCCAGCTTAAGTGTTACAATTCGGGTCTTTGCTGAAATTACTTTCATCTTATGCAAAAACAATGCCGTCCTCCTCGGTTGATTCTGCCGGCCAGACTTGGTGCGCATTAGGGCCTCTTCTCCTGCGCAGCTCACTTGTTGTGGATTCTCAGTCATGTAGGTTGAATATAAGTCAGTGTTTCTGCTATTTGAGTATGTTTAAATTTTTTGAAGGACTCAGAGAACCAAACCAGCTTCTAAGACGAAAGCTCTATTTTTCCATCTGAACGGAAAACAGCTTAGTATCGAGTTTCTATACTTCCAACGGAGGCATTGAATCTATAATCTGTTCATTTCCATAAAAAACACACTTTGGTCCAAACAGAACTACAATTGGATATGCCATTTATTTGTCCACATCTGAACTCTTTTTAGTTTGTTGTTATATTTTCCAGTTTTTATTTTGATATGTTGGTCAAACTATAACTCATTTAGCCAAATCCAAACGGTTATATGCGTTATTTTTACATCGGTGCATTCTGGTGTGTTGACACTTTGCATATATTTGATGTGAAACCAGTCTAGCCTGAAAGGGAGATTACTTTTCTTTTTGGTGTTGGTTGATCGGGTTGTATTTGTCAGAAAAGACAGGGAAAAAAATAAAACAAATGGCAACAATAAAAACTTTGGGTTGTCTAAGGATGTCAAATTTTATTGAAGCATATTAAAATGGTTGTTAGCATAAGGATGAGGAAGGAGTATAAGTATTTTTTACCTGCATCTTATTACACACACACTTGTACAGAAACAACATTCTTACTGCACATCACATGCATATTCCAAAACAGGATGAGTAATCTCTCTTGATTCCTGCAGGCATCGATTCAGAATGCATCAGTGACTCTCCATGCCCTTATTGTGGTAATAAATACATAATGAACATCTACTTCCGGTGTGTCTTTGCATCAGTATAATAATCAGACTTTACTTTTCAGTCTGCAGAAAACAGCATCTTCAAAGTTCAAATTATAGAACGTTAGCATGCAGAGAAAGTGTTGAAAAAACAACACACACACACACACACACACACACACACACACACACACACACACACACACACACACACGCCAGGAGACCGTTTTGGCGTTATCCAGGTTAAGGTCTGGCGTCTGGCTTTTCAGATGTCATGCTTGAATCTGAACTCAGAGCTCTGGACAAACATGGCAGCTCCTTCATGCGCACTGATAACTTTTTGATCATACCACTCAAACAGCAAATCACGTACGTCTGCATGGCTGTTTTATTGGTTGTGTCAGGGAAATGTAGTTTTTTACTGCATCAATGATACCAATCAGCCTAGCTCTTGTATCTTCCTAAAAAATGCACCACAAAGTAGCTTTATTGTGCTTGCTCCTTCCACTTGGAAGCTAGCGTTTGGTGCCTCGTGTTTTCACATTTATGAAGGTAATTTTGGGAACAAAATGAGACATTTTTTTCCACAGCGGAGTGTGATTTCTAAGACTAAATAGCTGTAATTTAGCTTTTGCACGCAACCACCGTCAGGCCTGCGCAATGGAACCTTCTGTACAGGGATTTTCTGTCATTTCAGTCTTTTTATATCATACTACCGCCTTATCACAATTGAAAAGGGGAGTGTTTTTTAACCAAAATGTTGCACTTTAATTTGGATTTTCACCAAAACACGACTAGCAACTTTCCACAAATAAAAAGAAAATGATATTTAGTAAAATGAGATCGAGTAAATGATATCCACGCTGATTCGTCATAATTTACTCATATTTTACGTTCCAGAAACATTCTTATTTCCTGCATGTCTGATTTTAATTTTAAGTTTTTTAATAGTTTTCTTTAATTAACACAGAACAAATCAGTAAACTCACCCTAAAGAAAACATCAACAGTGATTTTCTTAAATGAAAGCTGCCTTCAGCCCTGCTGTCTCCTCTCTTCGGCCTCTCTGGTAAATGAGGAGGTTGTTGCACGCAGCGGTGATGCTTTTATTCTGAGCAGGGATCTCGGATTCTGCCTTATTACCAACACGTTTATGAACAATCAAATGGTCCTCGTTAAACTTTTATTGATGGGCATAAAAGATCGTGAACGGTCACTAGCCGAATACAAGCCGCTTTAGTAGGCTGCTTGTCAGGATTCAGAATCCCCTCCTGGACTATCTAAATCCCACTTTGGTCATGTCTGGTCTTCTGGTCCTCGTTTAAAACGACGCAAACTGCATCCCGCATTCAGATGTTCCCCTCACCCTGCACGCACGCTGTTTTCAACGCACGTCTCTTTGATAACAACAAACAGCCTTCCACAGGAAGTTATAAACGCCCCACTCTATCAAATGCGCAGCTGGTTTGATAAAGATAAACCCATTCAATAAACTCTTTAATGCTGCAACAGGATCCACTGCAACAGCATGGAGCCAGAGAAGAGTTTGCCCGACAGAGATTGATTACACCATCAAATAGTTCCTTGCATTCAGACGCAATGTGCGCAGGTCCGTGCTGCGACTGGGGAAAAAGATCCAACAGTAGAGCTCCAAACACGCGCTTCCTTCTTCCAAAACAGAAACATTCTGGGTGATGTTACCTCTCAGCCTGCAGGGAAAGTGGAAAACAGCGCATTCTTTAATCCCATTTATGTGCATTGGTATCCCAGGGAAAGTGGCGCATTGATCCACTGTATAATTTTTGTGGGGGCAAATATAATCACGTGTCCAAGAGGCAGCCAATAGGAGCCGAGGAAGCTTTGAGAAATAATTACCTGCCTTGATTGTTCTATGGCTTGATAAAAAAAGTACACATACGCTCCATATAATAAACGGATGCATGTAAAAGAGTCAGGGAGGCTTCGACATGTCGACCACGGGTCCCATAAGTAATTATTATGTGGACTCCTTGATCAACCATGAGAACGAGGATGTCCTTGCTGCTACACGGTTTTCAACGCCCGGTTCGCACCCAGCTGGCCCAAGACCGACGTCTCTAGTACCGGAGTGCGCCGACTATCCTTCCTGCAGCTTCGCACCCAAGCCAGCCGTCTTCTCCACCTCCTGGGCCCCTGTCCACTCGCAGTCATCAGTGGTTTACCATCCATACAGTCACCAACCGCACTTAGGCACAGACTCGAGGTACATGCGCTCATGGCTGGAGCCGATATCAGGCGCAGTGCCTTTCCACGGCTATCCGGGGAACAGCAGGCATTACGGGCTGAAACCCGACGCCTTCCAGGAGCACAGAACCGGGGAGTGTCTCGGCTCCAGTGGACGGACCTACACGGATTATCTGTACTGCTCATCCACTGACATGCGGGACAAGACGCAGCAGAACGTCTCTTCTCCCGAGTCGGAGCTTCTGGCTTCGGGGAAACATAAAGAGGAGAAGCCGGAGCTAGATCCGAGTAAGTGACGCTGCTTTTTTCCTGTTTTACAGCGGGGAGGGATTCTTGTTTGTGGGAATCTGCGTTTGCTAAGAGGCATTTTATCGTCCTGCATAAAATGAAATGATAAGGTATTGCTTCCTGCCTTTTAGCCTGCAGCTCTGAATCGCCTGAGCTGAAGGGGGGGAAAGCTTTAGGAACTATAAAAGACAAATGCTACCAGGCTAATATTGGGGCTATAAAACCAGACGTGGTTGTAAACATGGACTCGAAGCTACAGCAAGACGTTGAATTTGAAACGATGCTGCACACTGTTGAAAACAACAGAATATGCTTTTAATTCGAAAGAAACACATTCATCAATTGTTTAGATATTTCTCACACTTGTGTCCACTCAGACCCATTAAGACTGCCAATTTTCAGAGGAAATCCACATTTGCTCTTTCTTCCCACACAGTTCACACCAGTGAGAATATTCGTGTCCTCGTTCAGCCCAAAACTAACCCTCATGAGTTTTATTTTTCAGCCAACTTAAGGAATGCAGGGACTAACTCGAGCACTTTCACCACGGACCTGTAAAGGCTTGAACCACTGGCCATTTTATGGGCCAATAAAATGAATAAGCGCACTGAGTATTTTACGATGGTGTTACTCACAAGTTAAGAGGACAAGAAAGCAAATCAGTTGAGGCTTGGTCAGTTAGGAGGAGGATATTTTCCTAAATGCATTATGTCATCTTATAATTGAATTTGAACACTGAATTTAATATTTTATTATATTAATTTTAGCAATTTCATAAAGTCAGTGTTCATGTGTGTTTATTTCCTTTTGTTTTTCCCTCTATTATTATTTTCTAACCATGTGTGTTCTTTTTATAAAACTGCAGATAATCCTGTGGCTAATTGGATACACGCCCGCTCCACGAGGAAGAAGCGGTGTCCTTACACAAAGTACCAGACTCTGGAACTGGAAAAGGAGTTTTTGTTCAATATGTACCTCACAAGAGACCGCAGATACGAGGTTGCGCGGGTTCTGAGCCTCACCGAGAGGCAGGTGAAAATCTGGTTTCAGAACCGGAGGATGAAGATGAAGAAGATGAACAAAGAAAAGAGCGACAGCAAAGAACAATAATGTGGACTTAACCATCACACACACACACACACACACACACACACACACACACACACACACACACACACACACACACACACACACACACACACACACACACACACACACACACACACACACACACACACACACACACACACACGTTCCTCATCACGTTCGTCACTTAGTTGGATTTTTTGTATTAATAATAATTTCCAGACTGTTTGATGCTGACTGTCACACAGACAAAATAAAAAAAGACATTTCTAGATGACGACATTCTGCTTTCACGTTAGTTCTTTGTAGAGAAATTGCAGAAGCTCTGTTTGAACACGATAACAGTCCGAAGGAGAACAGCCTACTTGAATTCTTTAAAATTTCATAAAACCCATAATTTATGATGTGAATGTTTTCTCTTGCATCCATGTTTATTTCCTGTTTTGGGGCGCAGGTGGTATTTTGTACAGAAACAGAGCATCTGCGAGCGACTTGTCTGTATTGTATTTTGTGGATGTTGTTGCTGTTTTTGTGCATCTGTTTGTTTTCTTTTGGCTGTAGCCTTCGAGGTCACACATTAGCGTGTAGCTCTGCAAATATAACGATTGTCACAAACGTACGTTTTCTGTGTTCCTTTGGTTATTTTGTGTTTGGCTGAAAAAGCAGCCCTGAAATGACTTAACCCAGAATGGAATATATATAACAAAAAATAGACTTATGTTGCAAATAGCTGAGGCCTGAATGAAGCAGGCACAAATTCAGTCAGTTCCTCCAAAAATAAAATAAATAAAAACCCGAGTAGCAGCTCATAAACTCCTGTTAGTGACACATTATAATTATTTAGGAACCTTCACTTTAAAAAAAAACACCGAATTAAAGGCATGTTTAGTTTCTAAAATATATATTTGAAGTAACAAATGTGAGATTTAAATCTCGCTTAAAGTTTTCAGGAGCAGAATTATTACCAGCTGCGTGGATATTTATTTTATGGAGCCACGCCCTTTAGTTTACACTCACCATTTATATTTTAAATGTAGTTTATCTGTTCGGAGTTTGCGAACTGTGTGGAGAATCTGCTGACTTCTACGTGAGAGACAGTTTCCCTGGCCTCACGTTTGTTTCCTGGGATAGGCCTAAATTGCCTTTTTGTGGCGAGTAACAATACGGACAGGATGCTGTAGTTTCAAAGCCCAATCCAGTGCATTTCCGCTCAGCTCGGACAAAAATGCCAGTTTTACAACCCCTGCTGGAGCTTGGCTGTTTGTCTCAAATACAGACGAACAAAGCAAACTCGACTAACTGGCTAGACGTCTGGGCTAAATGACTTTATGGTTTTAATGGACGCTGCTGCTGGACCCGTTCAAAGCAGAGCCGGGCACACAGTTCTGTAGGACTTTTTTTTTTACTGATCGTCTGACTTCAACCGTCCTGCACTTCATCACAAGAGTGGTCGATTAGCTTCCAATTAGATGGAGAGAAGTCAATAGTTGTGCGTAAATATGAGAGCTGTCTCTTATATAAAAGTACCACAACAGGAAACTGCAGCGCATCAGCTCTGTCAAATGTGCAGTAAACTACAGTGACTGGTACAAACATCAGCTTTATGTAGAAGGAAAAGGACTGAGTGTATAACAGAAAAGTCTCATGGTCTGGCTAAATGAAAGAGCCATTTGAGCGCAGATGTTTCTGATTGGTGGAATCATCAGGTCAAGGGACAGATACCAACACTAGATGACGCTGTTGGTCAACGTTTTACGCAAGGTGCCTGCGTTTAATTGTGTTTTTTTTTTTTTTTTTTTTTTTTTTTTTACATGTTTGTGGCTTGGCTGAAGAATGGAGTTACCCATTGATGACAAAGTGACAGATACGGTCACGCACCACATTTGGTGTAATAGGCCGCAGAGCAGTGCGCCGGAACGCAGCGGATTTGTTGTGTTTTTGAAAAAAAAAAGTCAAAACATTTTGTTTAGGATTTTCTATGATTTTATTACGGGAATATTTAGATTACGGGCGATTCTGCTGTTTTTCATGTTGAAAACAAATATGATGTTTATTTTTTTGTACATGTGGATGCTTTTTAACCCCAGCCCTTTATTTTATTTAAAAAGACAATTTTTTTCTTTCATCAAATTGGTGCAAATTTAGCTTTTTCAATCATGTATCCCACACAGTGCATTACAAATGCAGCTGGAAGAGTCATATTTTTAATTTGTGAGTGAAAACGTAAAAAGGTAATTAAAATGTGTGAAATATATGTGTAAAAACAAACTAACAAAAAATATTAAGAGACAGTCATATTTATTTATAGACTCATTTTATTAGAAGTTTGTGCATGTGTACATCAACGGTGCATCATAAGTATCGTTGATTCTGCTAGAATTTAAAATATCAACAGCAATAATAGTAATAATAACAATATTAATAATAGGCTACCTAATTGTTGAATCCCACTCAAGTGGTAACTTGTGTATTTTTAAGAGCTGGTCAGTCTCTCAGTAAAATCTTGATATACTCAATCTACTTATTTATAGAGTGTTAAAAATCCATAAATTCGCTCACATCTCCTTTCAAATTTTACGATGATGTGTATAAAACCTCAGCAACCCCACAAAAATAACCCTAAATTGGTATCATTGGAGTGAGAGAGCGCAGAACAGGGCTGGGGATCGTGCGTAAACATCCAACATTGCATTTTATGAACTCCACGGTGAAGGAGATTTACTGCTTATCCTCGTCGGTTTTACGGGGTCAGTAAGTGGCACCTAGTATTCATAGGTTGTGTTTATATTTGCGTGTTTTACAGCGCCTGGCACAATCGACGTGGCCTTCGCTGCTTTAGGAGACGGATTTTGTCCTAAAGTGGAATTATTTCACTCGCAGGCTTGCCATATGTTCACCGTGTGTCGATTTTTGTGTTTTAATGTTGTTGCGCGACACTGTGATGCTCCCAATCCTTTTGCTGACCCTCTGAAGGCAGTTAAAGGTCAAATGTGCTCCAGAAAAAAAGTAAAACTGTTATAAGCTCGAGAGCCGACGGGAGAAAAGGCACAGCCGCTTTTATCTTTATTATTCAGAAGAAATCCTTGTTTTGAACGCCTCGCAGCCACGATGCAAACACAAAATAAACCCACAGAGAAAAAGCACCATGCTAGTTCTCATCTGAGCAGCTCCACCTCTGTTGGTTAAATCTTAAACAACATTTTATTTTTGTTGTACAAACTGCATGGATCATATTTACAGCCTATTAGATTGTTTGGTTATGATTAGTGAAGCTCCTCTCAAGGTGGATATACGTAGGGCCCACGTCTGACCGGTCACGGAAAGATGAAGGGGTGGGGGGGCAGGAGGGGGGTGGGAGCGCTCGTGGTGGGGGCGGTTGGGTGGGAAGCTGGAAAAAAAGGAAAAAGAAAGAAAAGAGCAGCGTCTGTGACTGAGCCGTTGGAGCGAGCCAGCTTTAACATTAGCCAACGCACATCCAAAGCACATGCCATGAGCCGGGCTTGAGACCGCGCAACCACCGGGGGGGACACGCACACTCACGACGGCGAGAGAAATCCGATGAGAGGCACGGTTCAGAGAGAGTGAGCTGCCGTAGATTGTCCAAAGGGGCAGCGTTTCTCCTAGTTCCGGTTTGTCTGTCTGTGCGCGCTCGTGCGAGTTGGGAACCCTAAACAAAAGGCTGCCATCCACCTAAAGGAGAGATTCAGCTGCGCGAGAGCCCGTCTGCTTGATGCTAACTCAACATGAGCTCCTATTTTGTTAACCCTCTTTTTTCTAAATACAAAGGCAGCGAGTCACTGGAGCCAACTTACTACGACTGCAGGTTTCCACAAAGCGTCGCCCGCAGTCACACGCTGGTTTACGGACCCGGAGCAGCCGCGCCGGGCTTCCAGCACCCGTCCCATCATGTGCAGGACTTTTTTCACCACGGGACCACGGGGATCTCCAACCCGGGCTACCAGCAGAACCCCTGCGCTTTGGCTTGCCACGGCGACGCAACGAAATTTTATGGATATGAAGCCCTTCCGAGGCAAACGCTTTATGGTACCCAGCAAGACGCAAGCCTAGCGCAATACCCAGACTGTAAATCGTCGAGCAGCTCTAACCCCGGAGAAGGACAAGGCCACTTAAATCAAAACTCCTCTCCCAGTCTAATGTTTCCTTGGATGAGACCCCACGGTCAGAATCAAACTATTATTATTTTTCCTTCTTTCTGTTTTGCTATGTGGCACGCGCATGTGTGGGTCATAGATGTGTGTTTATGTTTATGTTATGTGCATGAAATAATCCCGAGCAGCTTAAAAAAACTATTAAACAGAAAAAAGGTGAGAGGACATGATGGGGCACATACAGGCTGCTGCAGGCAGCTGTTCCTCTGCAGCACATGTCCATACAGGGCTGATTTCTAACCGCTGAATTACAGATCACAGCTCATAACACCGGCTCTTTCAAGGCAATTATCGTTCGCTTTAGATATTTCACAAACTCTTAAAACACATTATAGCTATACGAGAGGAGGAGGAGGAAAAGAGAATGGTGATACACCACACACACACCATCATGCATGCAAGGTGACAGGAAGGGGGTTAAGCTGAAAGATACTTCGATTACCCAGAATCCGGGTTTTAGGGGTTAATCTGACCCACAGGCCCAGTGAGGCTCATACTCAAACTGCCATAATCGTAAAAAGCTCTGAAGATGCTGTGATTCCCTCTCTGAATATCAGGCCACGTTAGCTTTACGCAGGTGTGAGTGAGCTCCATCTTTATCAGCTCACACAGACACACAACATTAGTCTGTCCCCATCTGTTTACTCGTCTCATTTTTTTAAAATATATGTTTTGTACGTTCTTTGTAAATGTGCATGAGTGTGTGAAGGGATTCAAATTCTAACTTTTGAGTATTTATGTTCTATTTGAGAGCAAAATGCGTTTTTCTTAAATGTGTTTCCAATTTCTAAACAGATTACTGCATCATTTTCCCTACATAGGATGACGTCAGCAACATAGATTTTTTTGGACTTTTCAAATAAATAAATTTCTATTTTATATTATGTGAGGCACTTTCTAACACTTTAAATATTTAAAAGGTTCAAATTTGATCACATCTTCAGAAGACACAGACATGGATATCTGTTATTGCTAATTAGGAGACTTAGCTGCGTGTGCGTAATGGCGACTTTATGGCTTTGTGGTGAGAATATGATTAGATCCACAAACTTTACTGCTAATGTGAAAGTATATGTTTAATGCTCCTTTAATTGATTCTGTGGTGGGTCCATGCTAACTTCTGGCTTTATTTCATTCAAGCCCCAGGCAGAAGGAACGGGAGGCAAACCTACAGTCGTTACCAGACTCTTGAACTGGAGAAGGAGTTTCTCTTCAATCCCTACCTGACACGCAAGAGAAGGATCGAGGTGTCCCACGCCCTGAGCCTCACCGAGCGGCAGGTGAAGATCTGGTTTCAGAACAGGAGGATGAAGTGGAAAAAGGAAAACAACAAAGACAAGTTTCCGGGTCAGAGAGGAGAGGCTGAAGCCGAAGCTGAGGAAGAGGGCAACGAGGACGGTGAAGGAGAAGAGGCAGAAGAGAAAGAAACGGAAGAGAAAGAAGAAAGCAAGGAGTGATTTTATGGTCCTTTTTATGGTTATATGGCTCAAAAAGGAGAGAGAGAAAAGAAAGAGGTCCCATAAACAGACGAAGAGTCTCAACGAGGCAGAGAGCGTCATTTTTATGACCACCCTTCCATTTTGTCAAGAGGGAGAAGGAATCCCACCAATATTGTTTTCATAAATAGACAATATTATCCGTTTTCCTCAATTGTCCCGTCCTGATTGTCATTTGGAGAAGCTACACACACTTAGTTCAATTTCTTTAATAGACATCACCCCTAAACACACAAAAGGGGGGATTAAAATGCATGTTAGATTAAAATGGCGTAGCTATTTTATTTCCTCTTAATTAGATAATTCAAATAAAAACAAGTCCAACGCCGAACAGTGTTGTAAATAGATTCAAGCCTACATGTAGGGAAAATAAATATTTCAGATGATAGCTTCTCCAAGAACATCAACAACACCTAGGCCTGTAACTTAGTGAGTGTTCGGATGTCATCGCAGCAGTTACACTGGCTAACAGCCCATGTAGTAAACATATTTAATTTTTTCATTATTTCAGGATTTCCTGTTTTTATGTAAATGCCCTGAAAACAACAACCATTCGTTCTTCAGGCATCTTTTTGTCTTTTAGGATTACCAGGGAAGTGCAACTGTTTGAAATCCTTTCATGCTACCTAAACCTGGGAGAATTGCAATAGAGATTTCTTCAATCTTGTTTTTAAATTTTTTTAAAGAAAAAGTTCTCTATCAACCTGATACGATTAAGTTATGTGTAGCATTTACCCAGAAAACAATAAACACTTGTTGAAGACAATTTGTGAGTCTTGGGAAGACATTTAGCTGAAAGCCAATAGTAAGATTGTACCACAGCACTACCTAGAAGCTCAGAGCTTTGTCCCGCACCTCTTCCACACATGCGTGGCATCGCTCTGGTTTGATTGCAAGCTACTTCCCCAACAACTAAAAACTGCCTATGACGCACATTGACTGCGTAAAAATGATACCTGCAACAATTACAACGATTTTAAAAGTAAGGGAACTTTTATTTTGATGTGCTGGTGATATAGCGTAGTTGTTTTTTTGCACTGAATATAATCTTTATGTACGTCTTGTTATATAGTGATGTTAACAAATATGCTCGTTTCCTGTTGTTCCTCCTGTGAAAGACAGAGTTGTGTTTCCCCCACCCCTCACCATTGTTGATGTAAAAATCACAAATAAACAAGATGACTCACATTATGTTATAATTATTTTCAGGTTTTTTTATTGATTGAAAAAGCACATTTATTTCCAGCCAGCCATTACGCACACAAAACATTGTTTTCACCTAAATAAAATAAAAAATACGGTTTGTTATCGTTTAAAAATAGATTGTTTTAGATGATAAAATACATTTTCCGTGCAAAATTGTTAAATATGTCAGATACCGTCACACTTCCAGGCATGCCTTACCATAAATAATTAAAAACAATTCGTTTAGGAAGCGACCAAACTTGTTGACGGGGGTTATCATCGTCATTTTGAACGCAGACGCCCCTAACATTTGCTGTCAGCTGCAAAAGTGCAGATAAAGCGCACGCATCCTAATTAAACCTTCTAACCTAAAACATTAAAAGGAGGAAGACAGAAAACCGCCAGATGTGCGTTTGCAGATGTCTCTGTGTACCTTTTAAAGAAACTCTGGGAGTCGCCTCACAGCACGCATTCTCTCCACAGCCGGAGTTGTTTTTGATTCATCATCTTAATAAATAAAAACTTCCTCTCATCAGGGAGGACTCCAGACTTTTCTTAATGAGTCTCTTGAAGAATAATGGCTGTTTGAGATGATATGAATAAACATCTGACCCGCGGTGTTCATTATCAGACTAAGTAATGGTGGAGCATGAGGGAGGACCCGTCTGTCTGCACTGCAAGGTGTTGTAGAGCTGTAGGTGCGCAGGCGAAGCTCCTGAGAGCATCAGCGCCGTGGAATCAGGAAAAGGCCTAGAGCAGGTGACGGGACGTCTCCCCTCATCTGCTGCTGCTTCGGAGACAATAGGAGCTGAAATAAACCATAAAATGATATAAATTTAAAACAATTATTTTATAAAGTATGAAGTTTTGCTTTTAGACACAAATCAGCAGATTAATCTGCTGTTTTGTGACGTTTTAATAAACTAAGCTGATCCCTATTTTATTCTCCTTTCTTACAATTAAAATCCCAGATTATCTTTATTTGTATTTTCCAAATGCTTTTAGCCATGTTTACATAAAAAAATTGAGCGAAACAGTAGCTGCAACTTCATTTCCACGCATGAATATTCCTGAATCCCAGCTGATTTGTATCTAGCCTTTCTTTTTTATATCCATGCAGTTAGAACGTATTTGAATAAACGAAAGTCATTTCCTCAATGCTGAAACGAAACAGAGGATGCAAATGCAGGAAACTGAAACCAGAATCCCTCAGTAAACCATAAAATAACGGGATTCATTTCCTCACAATCAGAATCCATGGCGTTAATTTTAAACTTCATATCAACTTTTTGTCTGATTGATTTTCTTGGAATAATTTGGATCCCAGTTAAATAAATGAAAGAATACAGATAAATAAAGCAAGGCTCGTGTTATTTAGATTTAAAATAACATTTTGTCAGTATACACACATCGAAGGGGCCTTTTGGGGATTTTTTTTCTGCCTCTTGGACTAAAATGTCCTCCTGAATTTTCTGGCATTTTTGAATCACAATACAGCCTGAAGCATAAAAAGCAAACATGTTTATTTCTTTCGTATCCAAGGGTTTTACGCTCGCTGCGTTCCGGTTTTTTGCTTTTGCGCCTCGAGTGTTCTATTCTCACTTTGCAGACTTGAGAAAATCTGGGCTGTGTCCTTAAATCTTAGTAATCTCGTGCCCAGTTCCTCACTTTCTGTGTGAGTGTGTGTGCACTTTTACCAGAAGGTTATATTACCAATAAAGTTTAAAGTACATGCAGTAAACTTTATTGGGGTGTAAAGGCAGTTTCACATTGGCCTGCGTCTGTAGTGTCCGTGCGCCGCAGCTCAGTGTGGGGATCACGGCCTGCGATAATCCGCTTTCCATTAAATAAAATCCAATCCAATTTCATTTGACTGTCAGTATGAGTATGTTACCTTTAATCTGTGCCACTCAGTTCTAAATGTCTATATAAAATAAAGAATAAAGAAATGGTTTAGTTCCATAAATGCGTGCGTAAAAGCGCTAGAATGGCTAAAAATAACGCATCAACGTGACATTTTGTATGAGTGGGCTTATATTTTTCCATCCATCCATCCATTGTCTGAACCCGCTTTGTGCACGTAGGGTCGCGGGGGTGGGGGTGGGGGGTGGGGGGGGGGGGGTAGCTGGTGCCTATCTCCAGCGGTCAATGGGCAATCAGGCGGGGCACACCCTGGACAGAGAGCCAGTCCATCGCAGGTGCTTATCTTTTTATAAAATGTAATTACAGATTGCTTATGTGGTACATAACACCACACTGATGGTTTTGAATGAAAAATAATTAGCATACAGATGCGTTTTGTGTCTTTGTGACTAAATCTTCAGTCATCTTGGATTTCAATCGTTTACATATTTTCATCAGAATGGCCGCTAATTTCAAAATATAAATGAGAAACTGAGTCATCCCTGGCCTGAATCCTTTTGTGCACGCTGGATACTGTGGAGCGGATGAACTTGACGTTAGACAGGTGATGCACAATCCCTAAGTTTAAGATAACTTTTTTATAATTTTCTTTTGCTTCCTAAACAGTCTCATCATTCCCTTTTTCATGTTTTATTTTTCATTCTCCCCGCTGCTATGAGCACGCCCTGGCACCCAAGGATGTGTCATATTTTTTGATTTGTGACTTTTTTGCATCATCAGCAGCAGGAGCATCGCGGCTCATGTTGTCTGTAGCCGTTTTTAGTTGTGTTCTATCGTAAAAAGGGAACTAAAAGATGGGTGCAAACATTCCTGGTTGTTAAAGGGAGAAATTTACAGCTGAGTAATAAAAGTTTACGACTGAATCCTTTCTGCGATTGGCTGCAGCGAGCCACGTGGCACACGCTCTATGAACATGAACTTTATGCTGTTGTCTATTCTCTGGTCCTTCCCTTCTATCAGCAGCAGACTAAAAGCAAGAGCATAGATCCCTGTTTCTCTTCCTCGCTTATGTAAAATTTAAAAAAATTTGCGCAGTCATTTTGGGTCACAGCTGCATGTGATGTTCACCCGATCTCCGACTTCCTGGCTGTAGGATCTTCGGGACAGTCGCCGCCTCTACCAGCCTCTGCCTGCGCTTATCCCCCCTCACCACCCCTCCTCCGGAGGCAATAAAACCGCGACTGGGAAAGAAAAAGAGCAAGCAAGCCTGCAAGAAAAGACTTTTCCCGGCAGACAGACACCCTGGCCCTTATAGAGCTCCTTATCGACAGCCAGCTGTGCGCGGCAGATGCGCGTCTTGTTGATATTGCGCGTCTCGCCATCGTGACCCCTTCAGCTGTTTGTGACGCCTACAGCGCCTACAGGCAGCCAGCTCAGGTAAGATCACACACTTCTGCTACCTTTTATGTCCCCTTTTTCTGGCTGCTGAGCTGAAACGATGTGAGCATGTAGGATCACAGGAGTTGAAAGTGTCCATTCTGTGTTGTTGACCTGACCTGGAGATGCCCGGAGCGCTTGTCATTAGTCGTCTGTGGCCGGTGCACCTGCGCGTACTAATACCGGCCTGTTTTGGTGTGTGCGTATTGATGCCAGTCTGTTGTGACAGATCGCTCTCTGATGGGTAACTTTCTCATCACTCATAGGCCCATCTGACCAGGCGTTGAGGATTACATCAAGAGATGGCTGATGTGCTTTAATTAGCTTGTATTCTTCTCATTGTCACGTGCTAGATGCGGGTTCTGCCAGTAAATTAAATGGCATCCATGACGCATGTGTTTCACAGACGCACACGCGTGTATAAATATATGTAAAGGTGTAGGCTGGAGATTGAGAAACATGGTAAACAGTAGAGGCTCCCGGCAGTGCCCCCTAGCGACAAGAGGCGCTGAGAATTGCTGTGGGCGGGTGTTGAGGTTTGTTGTTTATGGCTCCTGATTTTCGGCGACTGCTCACTGCGGATGTCAGCTGATTCAGCTGATAGGCTGCTGCCAAAGCTGTAAATGCTCGGGCTGACACCAAGGAGTGTTTCCCGTTGTCTGATTTGTTGTTCTTTCCTTTCCAAGAGGGGAATTTTTGCTCCAATTTCTTTGTTTTATGTTTTATTTTGAGGCAGCGAAATAAAATGCACCGCTCCGTGTAACGTATTGCTGTGTGACATAATCACTGACGACATGATGAAAAGGAAAGAGGTGTTTTTATTCTTATTTATGCGGAAAAATTATATTTTACGGCATCTCAGTGCCTGCAGGACAAAAGTGAGTCAGAAACATGAGGCAAAAAATGAAATAAAGTAAAATAAATCATCTGATATTTTTCTCAATATTCGACTAAACAATAATAATAAATACAAGTTAATAAGAAAATCACCTTATGATTAGTAAGAAAAAGTGTGTGTGTGTGTGTGTGTGTGTGTGTGTGTGTGTGTGTGTGTGTGTGTGTGTGTGTGTGTGTGTGTGTGTGTGTGTGTGTGTGTGTGTGTGTGTGCGCGCGCGTCCATTTAAAGCAGAAATGTCCCCTTTGAGTTTTCTCTGCGACGACACAAAATATGGCGCAATAAAGGGACTTCTCGTTCTTGTGTCTGCTGCTGCAGCTCAGCAGCACCACGTTTCAATCTTGTAAAATTTGATTATTGGACAAAGCCTTTGTGTAGACGCCTTTAAAGTCTCATAACCTACTGTTACTCTCGTTTTTCTCTCCCCTCATGAAGCTTCTGCAATGGCTGCGTCCGCAGCTGACCAAGTCTGCCTGCAGAGAGAGCGAGAGAGAGCGAGAGATGAGATGGAGATACTTAATAGATGCCATTTATGCTGTTAGGTAAATCTTAGTTTAAAATAAAAAGAGGAAACCACAGTCTATTGTTTAGCCCCGTGGTGTCTTTAAAAGCAGGGATGGCTTCCATAAAACTTCATGGAGTCGTGAATCTGTCCGCATCACCACATTTAAAACCTCACTTACAAATCCCGACAGGGCAAAATTTTTTTGCCTACTAATGGTCATAATTTATGATGTGTGGATCAACAAGTGCTCATTGGGCAACAGCTTCCTGAGTGCTTAACGAGCATAAAGTCGAACACTTCCGGGCATTAATTGGGCCGGCCAGCCATGCTAAAGCGCGCATAGAGGGGCTTTACGTTGTTAGGACGCAAATAACTCCTTATTAGAAGAGAAGAAACACCAGAGTTTGCTTCCCTAGTTGTGTTTTTAATCATGGCTGATAATGTAGAAATTTTAAAGGTCCAGTATAACTAATACTGAGTTGTGTTGTGACGTAAGATGATAACTTATCTTTCCAGGATAATAAAAGACAAGCTTTAGGTTCACAGATGTGGACGGGCGCAATTAAGCTGCTGTTCCATTTAGGCCCGAAAACCACATGAGCTAATTATGGTGTTGTAATAATAATAATAATAATAATAATAATAATAATAATAATAATAATAATAATAATAATAATAATAATACAGCTTTGTCGTTTAGTTAAAACGTATTATAAATAATACGTTTATTTTAGATTAAAATCATTTGCAACGAATCTTTTTTTCAAGCTTTCCTTTTCCAGTTTTTAATCTTTAGTCCAAACGCCCTTTTGGATACCGTGGAGCCAAACGGCTTCCTCCCATCGTGCATGAAAAGCCGTGCATGTGATTTGCCTCACGGGCCGCAATAAAACACTAAAACTCTGGGGATAGAATGACCTTTCTGATTCTGCACACTGACACAACCTCTGCTGCATTCCAGTCCACACATTGGCTTCTCTGTTCAGCCTTTACAGCCCCAGCAGTGCCTCCGTCCAGCGTGTTTTTCCTGTTGGTGTTTGTGAGCAACAATTAGATTTTGAAAATAGAAACCCAGTTTAGAAAACTCATTTAACAGAAATCTGTTGTAAAAGAAAACTAATTCTTAAATGCCGATATTTGACACTTTTGAAAGCGCTTTTCCAAATGCGTAGACAAAATTGTTTGTTAAAAAGAATGAGGCGAGCCTCAAATTCAATACAAATCCTGTTTGGCAGCAATGACAAATTAGGACAATTTGCACAGCTAAGCTCGTTAATTAATGAAATTATTTATTCTTTGTGTTTTACCTCTAACGATGTTGTTGGAATTCCGCTTTGAAGTTTTAATTAGGGCGAATTTTCAAATTATGTGCGTAAAACTCGCCAAACTTTAATTTCCAAATAAATTAGAGAGAAATAAAGAACCCATAACAATTTACTTTGTGAGTTTTTTTTACCCTGGAATAAAATATTTAATATATCGTGCTAAAGTAAGCAGAGTAACGCACATTATTGCTGCAGTGCAGACTCCAACTTTTGAGGGTCTCTGTCTAAATTCTGTGCGTTTCGGATGTCACAAATGGGCACGAAAAGGTGACGGGAAACTTTTATTGCACCAGCCACTTCCTCCTCTTTGTTCTCGTCTTTTTTATGGGCTTTTTCAGGATCCCAAACAACAGACCAAACGCTGTTGCGCGTCCAGGCTCCGCGGATTCTTCCTATTGAAGAAATCAATGCGCTGAGCCAATGAGCTGCTGCAGCGAGAGCGGCTGCGACTCTGGGCAGACATTTTCAGTAGCGTCATTGATTATTTTATTGGTACCTCTTATGGCTTGTTGCATAACGGGAATGTAATGTGACTTGTCGTTTCAAGTGCACGCATGAAGTTTTATTCTTTTTTCCCATTCGGGTTAAAAGCATTTAAATTGGAATGGAAGAGGGAACGCGCTCCATTTGACCTTAAAACAATAAAATAAAATGAGAGGAAGAAAAAAAGCTCTGGATGGTTTTGAATTTCGTATTTTTCAGGAATTTAAATGTAGTCGGTGTTGTCTCGAAAGTAGTTTTGTCAGTTTGGTGCAAAGCAACTCTGAAGTAATTTCCAAAAGCCATAATTTGCTGCAGAGATAATTATCGGTTCCTGTTTCCTCTGTGTGTGTCAGAGGAATGTCGAGGTGAGATTAGAACAATACAAAGAGACAGGAACACGCGCGTGGAGATTATAAAACCTTATGTTTTACTTTATGTGGTTTAAAATGTTTTGTGAGTTTAGAAGGCGCTCTTTGTGCGCACTGACACATTTGCTGCAAGAATCTATGCTGAACTTTTTAATGTGGTGAACTAAAAATTTCTCTGATGCAATTTATAAACATAGACGTGCTTTGCACGAGACTTAGCTGAGCTGTGCATTCATTTGTGAAGCTGGGTTGCAGAGCTTTGCTGCAGAGACAGTTGTTGGTGTGCTGGGGAACGTCACTTGTTTTATTGCCCTCACAGAAGAAAGACCATAAACGCATTCTTACCACCTCCAACCTCCACCACCCCCATCAGCTCGCTGAAAAAGCATGGGCACTGCTCACATGGCATATAACTTAAAGAAATATTAACGGTTTGTTGGGAAATCATTGATCTGTCTGTTATTAATGCGCAATATTTGTTTTAACCCTCGCAGAAAAGGTGACAAATGATAGCAGGGAAGAAATAAAAGACACAATAACCTCACATTTAAGGGCATTTAGCTGCACGTGAGACTGTGTGTGTCAGTGTGATTTTATTTAACAGCACCTTCATGATTCTGTGTCTCTATTCGCATTTCCTGTTTCCTTTCACTTCTTTCTGCGCTCTGCTTTTCTCCAAAACGAGACGCGTAAACTTCAAGTCAAAAAACTTCCCATCCAGTCGAGCTGGATAGTGTGCAACTCCACGTCTGCGTTGTGTTTATCGGCATTTAGCACTAATGTTCAAGCGCTGAGCTAAAAGCTACAGTTTCGCCTGACATCCTGCGTCTCAATTGGTCGAGAGTGGTCAGCTGACGTTGTCATATTGTCTCTCGCCGAGCCAAGCCTCGGCTATAACACTCGCGTTTTTGCGTCTTAACCGGAGATTGGAAATTAATAATATTCAATCCTCAAAGTGGTCCCACGTCCAGCTGGAGAGGCAGGAAAAAAGTCAAGGAAAGAAGTGAAGATCCAGGAGAAAGGTGTGGTTGGTTGACACAGGCGGGAGGGAGATTTACTGAGAAAGAGACCGATAAAGAAGTGGGGAGAGTTGGAGAGAGGGTTCCAAAGCAAGGTATGAATTCTTACTTCGCAAACCCGTCGCTCTCCTGCCATTTATCCGGTGGTCAAGAGGTTTTGCCAAACGTCCCCCTGAACTCCACCACCTATGACACAGTCAGACATTTTTCGTCGTACGGCGCTGCTGTGACCCAGAATCGGATATACGCACCTTTCTACTCCCCTCAAGAAAACGTCGTGTTCGGCTCTGGCCGGGCTCAGTACGACTATGGATCAAACGTGTTCCTTCAGGACAAGGACGTGCTGCCCAGCTGCAGGCAAACAAACATGGGACTCAACTCACAGAGCCACATTGCTCAAGAGTACAGTCTGGATCAAGGAAGAGCAGGAGCTCAGGAGCAGAAAAGTAACATCCCGATCTACCCGTGGATGCAGCGCATGAACTCACACAGCGGTGAGTTTTACTACGACAAATAAATTAGGGAAATGGGCCAGTTTTACGATATGTCTTACCAAGAGAGTAAGTTACTTTTTATGGCCCCATAAAACATTACTGTATCTGCTCGACTCGTAGATGGGCCTTAACATGTGCAAACAAACAGCTTTCATTTAAACAGTGATGTAGTGGCCATAATCGGTAACACGAGACGGAGCCAATGGATTAAGGATGCTTTCATAATTTTGCATAATAGAGTAAATGTTCCTTGGAGATAAGTTTCACTGTAGCAGCTAAAAATTGACTCAGATTAAAGTTTGAACAACGTGTTATTATTAATTCCAGAGATTAAAGGTGATTTTCTTTTGCGTGCAGGCGATTAAATGAGTGTTTTTACTCGGTATTCCAGCAGGAGTGGGCTACGGGACGGACAGACGCAGAGGACGTCAAATCTACTCTCGTTACCAAACACTTGAGCTGGAGAAGGAATTCCACTTCAACCGCTACCTGACCAGGCGCAGACGCATCGAAATCGCCAACGCGCTGTGCCTAACGGAGCGCCAGATCAAAATCTGGTTCCAGAACCGACGCATGAAGTGGAAGAAAGAGAGCAACCTGACCTCGACGGTGACTGGAAGTGAACAGACAGGATCCTCTCAGGAGGAGGAACGCAGTGGCGCAGCAGAAGAAGGGAAGGATGAACACAAGAAGAAGGAATAGTTGGAATAAAAAAGAACTGAGAGGGGATAAGTCTTCACCTCATGACCATGAAAGCCCAACATAACTACCTAATAGATATGGACTTGAGAGCGACATCTCTGCATGATGGTCATCCCGCTGCTCTTTATCTCATGTTTGACCCTAAAGGAGGTGTGGAGCCCTGAATACTCAAACGAATTCAGCCACAGTTTGGTCCTTGTGACATTTGCAGCATTAAGATTGTTTTTTTATATATATTATCATCATTAATATCATTGCTATGTCTCACATGTATTGTGAAAATAATATTAATAATAATAAAATAAGAAGTATTGTTTTCTTGGTTACTTCACACACCAAGAAACGTGTGTATTCACCCAAAAATTCGTCACTGTGAACTCTTTGATCACCTCACCAAAAACAGTGTTGCTTTGACTTGTTGTAAACGCGCACATTCCACGATTCCACAGCACTAAAAGGGAAAAGGATCGTGCGGACACTTGATCACAGTGCAAATTGTTGTAGTACTTGAATTGTCCGCAAAAGAGTGGCCTGCATTAACGTGAGAGTTGCACGGTCAGTGTCCAGTACACACACACACACACACACACACACACACACACACACACACACACACACACACACACACACACACACACACACACACACACACACACACACACACACACACACACACACACACACACACACACACACACACACGCACAGTCTGTATATATAACAAAAGCTATCATGCAAATTCTGTCAAAGCTTGTGCATTTAGCCGCTTGAGTTTGGCGCTGCGTAAAAGGGAAATGCGCCAGATCTTCCTCTCCTTGGTCATTTGACACAATATGTATTTTTTTTATTGTGAGATAGATTTGTACACTCTTCACTTTCATTTGAGATTTATGATTTTGTGTTTTGTCATAGTTGTGTATCATGAAATAAAATCTTTATAAAACACTCTTCTGGTTTCTTGTAATGAAGATTTTTCTTTGAAACATTTCAGTTACGCACCAACATGAGGCACAGTTTTAGTCGTTGCTAGTTTAAATATAAGCTTCAAGTGCAAAAAAAGTTGGAATGTAATATTTTATACCACACTGGGGCTTCTGGTTGATATTGGTAACAAGAGAATGAGCTTTTGTTGAATTCCAACAGCATAAAATCCCCGTACCTCTTTTTGATTTGGTTCCATATATTTAAACATTATTATTATTATTATTATTATTATTATTATTATTATTATTATTATTATTATTATTAGTAGTCTTTGTTGTGCGTTTAAATTTGGAGCCGAGGCGCGTCACTGGCACAAGGTTCTGCCCGGTTCTGACCGACCTGCTCCATTCCAGACACCAGATGACGCTCTTGTCTCACTGTCCTGCCCTTTTTGCGTTAAAGACGCCTGGCTGGTCCCCCAACAACCAACAGCTCAAAGTTTACCGGACACGTTTCTCCTATTCATCAATATCCCCATTGAGTATCAAGCCAATTTATGACTGGCCAACATGCGCACGTGATCTCAAACAAATACCCCATATTTGGGCAGCGCGCGCCGGATCAAGAATTAAAGAAAGAAAGGGGAAAAAAGAAAAGATAGCAAAACCTTCTCCACCTATAAATCCTGGATTATTTTTAAGGCAGACAGCTGTGAATTTTCTAATAGCAGCTACAAAGAAAAGCAATGATCAACTAAAACAAGGCGACGTGCAGCAGCTCGTTGTAGTTTTGGAAGAAAGTGTCGCTAAAAAGAGCTCTTATGTTGAAAGCTCCGCTCTCAGGCAAACAAACGAGACAACTTCTCCTAACAGCATGTTTACTTTCGATTTATCTGGGCGCAAGTCCAGCCGTTATGAGGGTGTTAATGTGAACGGGATTTACTCCTGCCCCGTCCCCTCGACCTCTGTGGAACGGGAGGAGATGAAAACTAGCCTGCGTGGCAACACGGATACTCCTCTCCCTCCAGGACCACAGATAAGCAGCATGGTCTCCAGCAGCTCGTCCGTGGACGCAGGGGGACTCAACTACTGCGGCAGCGCGCTGCTGGGACGAGGAGCGGACAGGGAGCCGGAGAGGAGCGCAAAATGCGGAGGCAACATGAGCCAGGAGAGCGACAAAAACGCGGAAAAGACGCAAACTGTGAAAAGAAACGCGAGCCATCACCAGGACAGTGAACAGCGGCCGCAGATTTATCCGTGGATGACAAAACTGCACATGAGCCACGGTAAAGTTAGCCTGTTTTCTCACTCTGAACGCAGCTACACTTCTTTTCGCTCGTTCCTGTGTCCCTCTTCAGTTTTATAGGCCAAAAGCAGGAAATAATAAAAACTCGCGGTCATAAATTTTATGACAAAGGCATCTATTGCTCGTAAACCTGCTCTGTTACGGTGAAGAGGTGATCTGTGCTGTGATTTATGGTGGCATAATTGGATAAGAGAGGAAAACTCTAACAAAACTATGAAATAATATTAGAATCCAGCTCATCTATTTGTTGTTTTCCTGCTGCATTTATAAACTGCAAGTTTTACACGAGCAGAGTGTGTGTGGGAGAAAATCTTTTAGCCTTAGTTTGAACTCTGGAACACACCAATGCCCTGACCTAATCCTGAACTTTTCACCTCTAAAAGATTTGAATAGGCATGCTCCCTCTTCATGCCTCCAAACCATTCTCCAAACCAGGCTATCCTGACACATGGAAGTGCATTTTCTGGGGAAAAAAAGAAAAAACCGCGCAACAAGACTTGATTTGTGTTCTTGCATTTTGCAAATATGCAGAAGCACGCAGCAGGAAATACAGGCCTGCAGTTTGACCTAACAGGTTTCTGCAAGGCTGGAAAATAACAAGAAAACACAAATTATACACTTTGCTTGACAGCATTAATTTATTTTAATCTTCCACCATGTCAAACTATACTGTATTGCGTTAAAATAGTCATTCTTTAAAATTAAAACTTAGAAATTGCATATAATCTTGTCATCTTTTATATATATTTTTTCTTTTTATGTTTACTTGCTCATTTAATTAAACACCTAATGAGGATCACGTAAATATTCATTCTGCACATATATGAAGTTATATTAAATGTGGGTGAAATGGACCTCGGTGAGTGGATCCTTTCTTCTTTATCTTTATTTAAAACAAATTTATTTATTGTAATGTTGCTGAAAGCTGACTTATTTTAATACCACTTCAGAATCGGAGGGTAAGCGCTCCAGGACCAGTTACACACGCTACCAGACTCTGGAGCTGGAGAAAGAGTTTCACTTCAACCGCTACCTGAGCCGCCGCAGGCGCATTGAGATCGCCAACAACCTGTGTCTGAACGAGAGGCAGATCAAAATCTGGTTCCAGAATAGACGAATGAAGTGGAAGAAGGACTCGAAGATCAAAGTGAAGGAGTAAAAGGAAAACGTGCATCCATGTGAGCCAGTTTCCAGCCCCCAGCATGCATTGTACACACACACAAAGACACACACAGACACACAGACACACAGACACACAGACACACACACACACACACACACACACACACACACACACACACACACACACACACACACACACACACACACACACACACACAGAAAGAGAAAGAGAGGGAGCCACGCAGTGCCGCCTGACCTTCGGATGAACCGCAGTGAGATCATGACACCGCTCTGTGTGCTTCATCACCAATTATGTGTCACTTGCTGCAGTTTGGGACCTAATGTATTGAATATCACTCACTTTGATCAATCGGTTTACATTTCTAAATTAACTTTCTGCCTATGCGATGATAACCCCACTTAAGTGCAAAGGGGAACCGCCAGGCTGAGGGGAGCAGGGTGGACGGAATTATTAATATTCACTCTCAGTGATGTTTTTAACATTATTAATAAGAAATCCTAAATTAACCAATAGGAAAGCTGCGTTTTTTATTTTAAAGCTGATGGACGTGTGAGTGTTTCATGTGAAAGCATCATGTTTGTCTGTCCTGTGAATCTGGATCGCCATGTTGAATTCAGTGACTGTATGTGATCATGCTGTAATGTGCAATGGAGCTATTTCTCTTCAAGGTGCCTGTTGAACGCAAGGCCTTGGAATAATTGGTATTTGGCCTGTTTGTTGATTGTAACCAATAAAGTAAAACAAAAACCGTTATACTTGTGCACTAATTGATTTACATGAAGCTGAATATTACATTCATGTTCCACGAAGTCTAAATCTATTTGTTTACCATATTTAGTTTTAGTTTGACCGACTTTCCAGAAATTCCCAGGCTGACAAACGCGCTCCAAGGTGTAGAGTCTCCCCCCATAAAACTTTATTGGCCCTTTTCCACCTCTCCACAGGCGCACCCTGCTTCCTGTTTTGTCAGGGAAGGAAGCTATGGCCACACCGGCCTGTTACAGAACAACAAAACATGGACGCAAAACTTTGGCTTCCTGGCCGCAGCGTCAGCGCCTCTGCACGTGCGTTATAGCGAGGCTCGTTAATTACCATTAAATTGCAGTTAGCAGAACACTGAAATTATTACTGTTCTTCTTATTATTCCTTTATTAATATAAAAGAGGAAATAATGCCGAAACGCTTGCAGTATGTCAGTGGAAGGGGTTGTGACGCAGAATAGCCCAAGGTTAGGAGGTAATTCCTCTAATGCTACTTAAATAAAAAAAATAATTGACTCACCTCTTAAACTAACAGCTTGAGCATCCATGACGGTTATTAGAACCGGTAAGCAGCGTCCACTTTCCCTGCTCTCTGTTGGGCCTAACCTATACGTGGACGGATGCATTGAATCCCTTTTTCTATGTCTTTTCTTTTCGGGTATTTTAAAGTTTACAAGGTTACATATGCCAATTGCCCCGAGCAGGGCCTGTGAATGGTGCATAGGAAGCACGTGGTGTCATTTAAGTGGGTTTTATGGCCTGGAAGAGCTGACAAACCTTCGATATATACACATCATATATAATCTTAACTGTCCGGAATCGCAGCTGCTGGCTTCCCCTTATCGGAGGAAGAAAGGGCTTTGTGGCAGTGAGGAGGCATTACCTCTCTCCGGACTGTGGAGCGGAGCGTTTCGGAGGTCTGAGAGCTGCTGCAGTAAGTGGATTTTAACTTTGACTTACAGGCCGCGTCTGTACCGTTTTTAGCCATGAAAAATAATTTTAATTTCAGACATTTAATGCTCAGATTTTGCACAAATTTGCACCAGTTTGCTTCATTATATATATAAATATATATTTAAATACATTGTTTAAGGGCATACATGCATGTTTACTGCACCAGAAATCCACAAAATTAAAGGCGTCATGTTCCGTTTACTGCGTGTTTGTGCATTTTATTCCCAGAGGAGCGTTTGGGTATTCTGAAAATATCTGAACCACATACCTCTAGTTTGTCAGTGCAGGGAAGGAAACGTTTGATGGAAACGAGAGTAAGGTGAAGATGAAAACTAAACCAGAAGTATCAAAAATCATCTGACACACACACCGACGCACACACATACACTCACACACATGCACGCACGCGTGCGCACACACGGATATTTTTGCACAATTTTGTTTTTTAAAACTTTATTACAGTGAAAGGTCGAATATTTTGCAAAGTAACACAAAATATTATTCCTTTTGGTGAGAGTTACGCAACAAGGGCTTTAGAAACTAAAATTTAAATGTTTCCTCTCATTGTTTTTGCGCCTTGACACAGCGGTGATGTTTGCGCTCATGAACTGGCTGGCGTCACTGTTGTTTCAGGGTCACATTCTGACCATGCAGACTTGTATATCAAGTACTGTAAAAACAGTCTGAGGGAGCTGGAGACGCGGGAGTGGCAGGCTATTTTAAGCGTGTGCACGTTGAAATTTTTGTTTCAACATGACCAGTCTATTTGTATTTTACTGAATTTAATATATATGCAGATTTTACTGATATGGAGGAGAATCGTGATTTAATCACGTGTTTATTTTATATTATTTTGAATCATGTAACATTAGTTTAATCATTTTTGGATTGGTTTGGATGATATGTGCATTTATTATTAGTATCCAGCGCAGTTTATAATTAATTAAGAAAAAGAAGATTATTTTTACTTGGCACACACTGGATTACGCACGTCTTTTTTGGTGAGCAGCTCAGACTAAGTTATGTGGTTCTGTACACTTTTTAATGCATTTTTAAAAATGTATTTATGCATTTTTCTAATATTGTGATGTAAAACCTGCGCGGTTTTGCTTTCATGTGTACAGGATCAATCATGCACGCTCAATAGGGGGCACTGTGTAACGCGCTCCTGAGTGAGTGATTCACTGTTCACTGTGGGTGCAACAAATATCCACTACAGCGCTTTAATTGCTGCCAAAGGTTTTTGCGCACCACCTTTAATCACATATTTGTAATTCAGAAAATAGAAAACATAAATAATATCACATTATGAATTAATTTATTACATTTGGGTTTAAATATAAATGAATTCAACAAACGGTTTATTTTATGGAGGCGAATTTCAGATACAGAGGTGCAGAGTGCAACGGCAATGAGTCAATATGGCTCTGAGGTTGATAAAAAAGGATTTAATCTAGACTTTAATCTGAGTTTTGCAAACATAATCTGGCTCAAAGTTGTGAAAATCCCATTTGATAAAAGTGAAACGGTAAACATCCGTTTTCACTGCCACGTTCTGGCCTGTTGTGTGCCTTTCTGTGACCTGTGGAGCTGACACTGCCATCCTTCAATCCGCAGAGGTCATTTCCGGGTGAGCACAGACTTCCCTTCGTCTGAGCTTCAGTTAGAACTCAGCTACAGCGCACTGGGACACGGGAGCCTTTTATTTATAATCTCAAGAAAAAGTTTTAGTATTTTTTTTCCTTTCTGGCTGATCATAATTTAGTGTTGCTGAAGTTCGGGGATTTCTATTCATAGCACCGATTTTTTTCTCCCTTCCCAAGGAAATACCAAATTATTTATAAATGTAGTTTTTATGGTCTGAAAACCATCCGTCCTGAATTCAGTCCGCTGTCCCAGTTTTACAAGAGCCGACACGCGTCAAAGCTGTTAGGACGACCCCAGATAAAATAAATTATTACAGGCTGAACGATCTTTTTAAAGAAATTAAAACGTAAAGTCATTTTATTCATCCCTCCCTTCTTTGGAGAAATATGTGATGCTTTTGAAAATTTTGAAAAACAAGTTAACACTATAAATTACAAATGTTTTCAATTATTTATTCCATCGTTTTATTGTGGATTTTAAAGGGCGCAAAAGATTAAAATAACTTTTATGTGCACTTTTCCATGATTGTTTATTATAAGACATAACTTCCCTTGAGGAATTAGTAAATCTTTGTTTGGATTCGTTTTTATTTTCTAATAGACGGCAACGTTTTAAAGAAAAGTCAGATTTTGATCTAAAAGATCTTTGGTTTTGTTTGAGACACTTCTTCAGGCCAAATGCGGATTTATCAGTGACTCATCGGCCCCAAACCATCTGACTTGAGTCTAAATAAAACCTTGCTTACAGATTTTACTTTATACTTTAATTTAATTTAAAAATATCCTATTAGATTTAGATTTAGATCAAATGCATAGCTGGGGGTTCTATGGCAAACGTCATTATATTAATGAATAGCCAGAGAAATAAAAGGGTTGTTTTGCTGTTTATCTAATGACCCACAGCATTAAGACCAACCAGCGGGTTGTAGGGAAATCCACCACAAATCCCCTGGCTACTGCTTTTAAAAGAGTATTCATACCCAACTGGTCTCCAGTCTGTCTGCTTTTCATTAAAACTTTTTATTTGGACCGGACCATGCAGCACAACCTTATTACACCTGGGGAGAGTAAACGTGTAAAGGCTATTACGTTAAGGGTTTGATTAAAAGTGCATCTTAACCGCTTCCATCATCAGGGAGCAGATTTGCTGCACGCAATGGACACAAACACCAACACACAGCCTCTGAGTTGTTTTACGCATATGTATTCAGATGAATTTTGTTTGTAATGTAAGTGTGTGAACATGATTGTACAACTGTTGTTTTGAACTGAAATTGGGGTGAGAAGGGGATGTGGGGTGTGGAAGAGAACTTAACAATTTCTCAAATGAACAAATGAAACATCAAATTAGTCTGCCTCAGGCTCTCATTTTTTGTACTTTTACATTATAACTAGTTATTGAACTAGGTGCATGATCTGAAAGCCATTTGTGGGCAGAAAGAATTCATTGCTGTCACTCCATCAATAATCCTTGGCAGTGAACTATTGGAACCAGTCAAACGCAAGGGGTGAAACGCGGGTCAGGCTGTCTAACTAATATTAAAATGCGTTCGCCTGAGCACATGGCGTGTGTGTGTGTGTGTGTGTGTGTGTGTGTGTGTGTGTGTGTGTGTGTGTGTGTGTGTGTGTGTGTGTGTGTGTGTGTGTGTGCGTGTGTGCGTGTGTGCGTGTGTGTGTGTGTGTGTGTGTGTGTGTGTGTGTGTGTGTGTGTGTGTGTGTGTGTGTTGGCTGGCTACACAACAAACATCATAGATTTAAATGCAACACGAGAACCAAAAACTTCCGTTTTTATCATTTTATTGTTCTTATTTCTTTCTTTTGCTCTAATGTCCATTTTTATTTCCTTTCTTACGTGTTTTTAGAGCGATTCTATCAAATATTTATCACAGGACGAATAGGCATGGTGGAATATGTAGATGAAGCTTTTCCCCTGTCAGTGTTTAAAATCCCATGTGCATCTGCACTGTAATCAATTCCATTGATTCACAATCTGAGCATGTTTGCTGTTTTTAATAACCTCGAAGCAGGTCACATGTCCAATATTGCATTTTTCATCCGAGGCTTTTCTCATTAGCTTCCAGAGTGTCAGGAAGAAAGGTTACCGAGCGGTCAGTATGGTAATGGCGAGCAGAAGAAATGGTTGGGAACAATAGAAACTTATTTTTCATCTGTGCTGTCACGCCGTCCTTTTGTATCTGCTCCGTGTTTGTGGCTGAATATTCATATAGGAGCGACCTCAAAGGCAAAGGCAGAATGCTGAGAAGAAAACACTGTGTGTGTGTATGTGTGTGTGTGTGTGTGTGTGTGTGTGTGTGTGTGTGTGTGTGTGTGTGTGTGTGTGTGTGTGTGTGTGTGTGTGTGTGTGTGTGTGTGTGTGTGTGTGTGTGTGTGTGTGTGTGCGTGTGCGTGTGTGCACAAGTGTGTGTGCGTTGATATATTTAGGGAAAATATTTACCCGCAGAACAAACATGCAGCTATTTGTTTATGTCCTCGTCTCGCTTTTACGCACGCGCTTTGGAGCGTTTCTGCTCTACTGCAGCCATGAAATTTGTTATGCACTGATGTCAGATGTGATAACCTGCTTGCCTCCATGTTTTCCCCCGGACAGATCAACCTCTGCAGCGTCAGTAGTTGTCTATATGTACCCTGTAGAACCGAATTTGCGTGCAGTAACAACAATCGCAAATACGTCTCTACAGGAATACATGGGCAACTGAAATACCACCCCAATGGATTGTTCTGCATCTGCTCTTCTTTCTCCTCCCTCCTTTCTGCCTTTGCATGAACAAGCATCAGGATACACCCAGGCAGTAGCAGTGCAATAACACTGTCACAGTGTATTCATAATCCACGCTGCCGTGGATTGTGTGGGTTTAGGCCACAGAGAGCGGAGCCATGTGCGCAGAGTGCGGCTACTACTGTGTCAGAGCCTGTAAAACACGTTAGAAACCAGGGGTCATTTAAAAGTGACTGATTTACGGCTTTTATTGCTCTATAAAACGCCTCTAACATCCTCTGTAGGGGTAATAGAAATGTCGTGAGCATTCTTTACAAACAGTACAGCCAGAAATATGATATGCACTTTCATATCGTTTTAAACTTGTTATGTAATTATGGCTTTGGAAATAGATCCCCTGGCTTGTGTGGTTCTGCTGACCAAAACACTGACTCATATCCCACTTCAGTACAAATGTAAAACTTTATTATTATTATTATTATTATTATTATTATTATTATTATTATTATTATTATTATTATTATTATTATTATTGAATCAGATTAGGAGAGAATACCTTTGAGATAATAATGGGAAGCCATAGCCCATGACAGGTTTACACAGCCAGGCAGCATCAGTTTACAGGGTCAGGATTAGCCTTAACATCTGAAGGCTGCTTCCCTAACAGGCAGCTGCGATGAAATATCACCAAGTAGTTCCAAATATTTAGATGCTTCAAATAGCTGTTTCAGAGTGTTTACTTACATGTCACACGATCATCTGGTGTTATCTTAAGGCATTTTCTGTATTTTTCATCAATACATTATCTCTATTTAACACCACACACGAAAATATTTAACTGTGTAGTGGTCTATTGAGCTCACATCATTTTACATTTGAATGTAGGAAAAGAGTCTGTTTAGTGTTTAGAAATAGGAGAAATGTGTGTTTTAGGTTGAGTTGGACATCATAATCTGGGAAAAGAATAAATCTGGTCAATAAAAAAAATAGAATGTTCATTAATGCAATTTTTTGCCCTAAACTGTGATTTTTATCTTTAACTGGTTAAGTCAGCAATTCCGTTCCTCCCTATTATTCACAATATTAGTTTTGGACTCTTGGTAAAAAGGATTGGTTGTATTGAGACAGATTTATTTATTTATTTATTTATTTATTTATTTATTTCATTTCAATAGTGCTGCAGAAATACAGTATTCAATGATTTTGTATTTAACAAATGCAGACACTTTTCTGTTAAGGAGTCATGTTTTCAAAAGCAGAAGTGAGTTTACATGATGTTTATACTTGTGTGTTTCATGTGTGCTTTAAAGCCCAACTGCTCAGTGATTAGCATTTTATTTCCCTTTCTTATGTATCAAGTTGTTGACTGTAGATCTGAGCATTCAAAACATCATTTGATGAAGCAACGTGATGTAAATACATTTGACTTCTGACTAAATTAGAATTTTAAACACACATAGTTTTAAGTAAGAGCCTTAATAGAAGATGGGAGATCATTTAAACTCCTTGCAGCTAAATTGGCACATTTAGCCTGTCCACCTTAAATGATTAAACCTATTTTGAAAATCTAGTCACACCTTTCAGCCACCTCACCTGTCCAGTGACTCTATAGAACCTCTTCCAGTTAAATATCATGTGACTAAAGAGGGGAACTCTGCAAGCAGCTCTAATTCCTACCGGATTGTGATCTTTTTCCCAGCTGAAGCAACGTTGATAAAGACTCTGCATTCATTAATTTGCAGATAACCTTTGCAGAAGGTGTGCAAACCAACAAAATGATTGTTTCTCTTTTGTTGTGCTTTATCCTTGGCGAACCATTGTCCCTTTGAATAATTGGGAGCTGCACATTTTGCCTGTTTTATTTTTTCCTTGGTCAGCAGCTACTAGTTTTGTCCCCAAGATCAATTGCCTTGGTAACAAAACCAGAAAGGGGGAGAAAGGAGAAGAGGGGGGAAGGTAAGGGAGAAGGAGGGAGAGAGAGACCTAAGCGGAGAGGAGGAGAGAGAGAGCTTTGTGCCCACAATGGCGACTGTAGGTATGCTAAATACCTCTGGTTCCTTATCCGGGAACTACCTCTTCCTCTGCTATTGGGCTACTGGGTCACGTGGTTAAAGTAACTTTACAGGGCTGCTCGCAAGTAGGAGGGCTTTATGGAGCAGAAAAACGACAAAGCTAGAAAAATTATTTTCCACTCCAGAAATTAATGATCATGAGCTCGTATTTGATGGAGTCTAACTACATTGATCCGAAATTTCCTCCGTGCGAGGAATATTCGCAAAATAACTACATCCCAGAGCATAGTCCAGAATATTACAGCCGCGCAAGGGACTCTGGCTACCAGCATCACCACCAGGAGTTATATCCTCCGCGGGCGAGCTACCAAGACCGCCAGTTTAACTGTGCAAGCATCCCTGAACCCGACACGCCAAGGGGACATGGAATACCCCATTCTGCGCACCTGCTGACAGGAAAAGGGCAGCCTGCATCATGTGAAACCCCACAGTTGTCCATGTCCCCCGCCACCCCACCGGCTGCAACCTCCGCCTGCAACCAAGCTACCCCGGAGCATCCAAACAGCACAGCCTCCTCCAAACAGCCTGTGGTGTACCCATGGATGAAGAAAATTCACGTCAGCACTGGTAGGCAACTTGTGTGTTTATGTTCCCTGCACTCCTCCCGCTCCTCTCTTCCTCTGCCTTCCTTTATCAGCCCCTCTGACTCCCATCTCGTTGCCAGCCCCTGCTCCGATAGCAGGGAAGCCTTTGAAATGGCACAATTGAGGCGGATTTACGACTCGGCATTGGTAATTACACCCACCATAAATTTTATAGCCGGTATACTCAGGGCAGCCGTATCACCATGTGGCTTCTGCTGTTATGTATTGCGCGATAGAGAGAGGGGGAGAAATGAATAAGGAAAAAAAAACTGAGCTTTGTGATCTGGCATTAATAATTTAAATCATGGTTGGATGTGAGTGTCCTCTCATTACGCTAAGAAGTTCTTAACTTCCCATTTGAATTCCTCCAAACATTCATGTCCAATAAATCTTTTTTAGCCATATCTCAGTTGAGGCCATTCTTGTTTACCCCTCCTTTCCTCCCTTTCTCTCCACTTCTCCCCTTTCTTTTCCCCCAGTGAACTCTGGTTATAATGGGACGGAGCCAAAGCGGTCTAGGACAGCCTACACCCGGCAGCAAGTCTTAGAATTGGAGAAGGAATTCCACTATAACCGGTATTTAACCCGGCGGAGGCGCATCGAGATCGCACACACCCTGGTTCTCTCCGAGCGACAGATTAAAATCTGGTTTCAAAACCGCAGGATGAAATGGAAAAAGGATCACAGGCTCCCGAACACAAAAGTGAGATCCTCCTCGTCCTCCTCTGGGTCCAACACAAGCTCAGCAGCCGGCGGAGTCGCCGCTGCCTCGGCCACTAACACTGGGACCCCCGACGAACTCACCGGAGCACAGCATGGAGAGGATATTACCAGGTTATAAAACAAGAGGAAAACAACAGGATCCGGGATCTGGGCTAGAGGAACTGGTTATTTATAGAACAATTATATATTTTGTTTTCGTAGCCATCTTGTGCGGTTTTCCTTTAAGTCCAAAGTTATATAAAATGCATGTTATATAGCATGGATTACTGCAGACACCGATGGATTATTCTTACGTGACACAGGGTTTTATTTATTTGAACTTCACTTATCATGATGTTTTTTTATTAAAATGTTTTGAATGAAGGAGGAAAAGTAGAAAAAAAATGTACATTTTATCCAAAATGTTATTGTGGGCCATCGTTTTTACCCTGCTGCCCATGGTAAAAAAATGCACAATCTATTTATTTCAAACAACACTGGAAGGAGATCGTTAAGATAATAATAATTATTTTGGTATGGAAGAAAAAAAGAGAAAAAAAAGCTTGAACACCATTGATTCTGAGCAATTGTGTTTAGGATGACAACAATGTGTGGATTACCTCGTGTATTTCAGAAACAGGAATTTTGATCTGCTGTTTAGTTCTTTTTTGTGGTGTTGATGTTGTGTTTAGACCGTTGAAAACCAGATTATTGTGACATGCAATAAACGGAGTTTTAGTGTACTTGTGCTAATCATATTGGTCAATAAAACGGTGAATGTCTACTAGTTTTACACACGTATGCTGGAAGTTTATTTTAGGCGAGAGGATGTTTACTTTGTTGTTATTTTTATTCTTTTCTCATGAGGGAGGGTCCTGAAGCTGTACAGATTTGTTATTATCAGATGGAAACAAGAATTAGTGTGTTTTCACTTTGAATCCTGCAGCTTCTTCTTTATTATTATTATGCATCCTTAAGTGTGTGTGTGTGTGTGTGTGTGTGTGTGTGTGTGTGTGTGTGTGTGTGTGTGTGTGTGTGTGTGTGTGTGTGTGTGTGTGTGTGTGTGTGTGTGTGTGTGTGTGTGATCTAATGGACTGAATTTGTTTCCCCTAAAAAGAAAATATGAAAGAGAAGTAGTTTTCGCAGCAACCTCATCAGTCTGAGGGGCATTCAATTAACGCAGAGACAAGCCATGAGGTCCTCCAGTCCACACTGCACTGCTCTCTTGGGCTCTTTGCCTCTCTTCATCCTGACTTCAACACAAAGACGCATGCTATTAATTTAGACAAACTTCTGTAATGTGTTAGAGGTGATAGATTCTTGTAAAATATTCATTTTGTAGTTGCCCTGCTTTTTCTATGCTCCACTCGTGCCATGTGGCTGGGTTTTCACATGTGAAATAAATGAAAATATTAATATTAATAATAAAATAGCCCCATAGTATTTTGTGATTTTGGTTCAGGGTGGTGATGATAATCACCTCATTGTTGTGATCTGGTCATGAGGAGGTGGATTTTCTTCTTTCTGATTGGGCAGTTTGCTAGCACACAGAAATCCTGCACTTTAAAAAAAATGGCGCTAAGCAGGTGTGTGCGTAACGTCATGGGCGCCTTAAATCTGGCAGGAGGACCAACACACACCAGGACTGTTTGCAGCTGTAAACCTGCTGGACTGATTCACACAATCACCATTCAAGCTCCGTCTTCAACTGAGATGTTTGGCGAATTCTTTCTCTCTTTCTTTTTGAAATTTTGGACAAATGAAGTTTAAACGTGACTCAAACCCAAAGACGCGCAAGTATTTGATAGATTATTGAAACCGTGACATGAATGGCTCTTATAAAATACCTTGCGTAGTGGGAGGCAGAACAACACAAAGGGGAGAGGGATTCTCCATCATCAATCTTGCAGAGCTTTGTGTTATGTTCTGGAAAACAGCTTCGGATTTTGATAACATCAAGTATTCTGTTCCAGGCCACATTCCTTCCCCACTCGTGCTCGAGTGTGAGATTATTGAATTCAGCTGGACCTTAAAAGTGGACCGATTCAACAGCACCACAGATGTTCAGACCTGCTTTCTGGTGGAAGGTGTTTGTGTGTGTGTGAGAGAGAGAGAAAGAGAGAGAGAGAAGGGGGGGGGGGGGGGTTGCTTTTGGAAAGCCACTAGAATGGTGAGACGCGGTGCTGAAAAATGAATCCAGAATCCTTTATGTTGGTGGACAGATTGGAGAAATTAATGTGCTCGCCACAGTTGCAGCATCCCTCCAGCCCCTTTCTAGGTCCTGTCGCCTCCATGTCGCGAGGCTCAAAAGGTGCCTCATTGAAGTTTGAGAGAGGGGGGATACAGGGAGAAGCCCGAGTTCACATCGAGGACACATTTTCTGTCCCATTAGGCTCGTTTCAGTCTGGATGGCCGACCTCTCCCACCCTGTGACCTGACTCCTTCTCTATGTGTGTACCTTCTGTGTGCGCCTTCGCAGGCCCCCCTTGGCCTCGGCTTTCTTTGTGGATTTTTCTGGGTTGTCCCTTTAGAGGGGCCTGCGGCGGGGCATCACTGACTGTGTCGTTCCTTTTGTTAAGCAGGGTGACATCGGACAGCTAGCCTCTCTGCAGACCTTCCAAAACTTCTTCAACTGGAGCATTTTTCAGTCTCCTCAGTCATTACGCGCGGTAATTAAACGTGCATTGTATATTTGCACATTTTTCCCCATAGCAGCTATATCAAACACATTACCAGCATTCATGAACGCTGACTGTAGATAGCGAGTTATTTTATCTTAAAATTAGAAGGGAATGAATGAATATCCCAGTGATGAGTTGCTGTCTCTGAGGTATCTTTTAAAAGTGCGTTATAAATAGTTTCACATTGCTTAGGCTGTTCCCAGGTCTGCTCCTACCTTTTAAAAGTGACCTGCCAATTATAGATGTTTGTGACAGAACTGGGACACCTGAGATTAGTTCATGGACAAGACCTTCAATTTAGATGACTCAAAAACCTTTCTATAAATCCAAACCCAAATAATGAGCTTTATTGAAACTTTAGTTTTGAGACTCGTGGCATCCCCCATGAAGATCTCCACACCCTTTTCGGGTTTTAAGCTTACTATTGTTGCAGGTTTAGATGCAATAAAAGGTTTAATGTTTTACTTTCTGGGCACGTCCTTTCACATTTCTTTAGCAAAAATCCCAGCCATGCCTTCCTAGATAAGCAACTGACAGTGAAAATAAAACTATGTGTCATTTGTGATGGTTATGCGTCCTCCTTCATGTTTGGGAGGCAACAGGTGAAGCTCAAGTTACAACTTGACTGCACTCCCTGTTTAAGCTCCTGTAAAGAAATATTTGTGTAAAAAAAGTTCTCAAGATTTATAGAAATATATTAATTGAATTTAATTCGAATAAGAACAAAATGTGAGGTTTATTGTTATAAATTACATCTAAATGTTGCAACAATGTGCAGCTTTTTCATGTTTAGGCTTTAATAAGGGTAAACATGATATGTGATGTTTATCTGTTTATTTATTTGATTTAATGGAGTTGTAGCATTTAAATACCTGCATGATCAACAGTAAAATCATTTATTATGTCAAAAGCATTCATTAAACTTAAAAAATAAACGTTAACGTTTAAAATTAAAACATATGTGAACCTCAGGAGCGCTGATTGGTTGTTGACAAACCAGCTAAATCTGGTGAGTCTGAAGTTTGTTCCTGCAGCTCTGACTGGTTTGCCTTTGGAGACGTGATTTTCTGCTCACTTTGCACCGCTGCGGACTCTGTGTGATTTATGGAGCACCTCTGGCGAGGTCTCTCAAATAAAAACTTTACGCACGGGGCCGTGAAGTGTTTAAAGAAGCACAAAACAGCGACGATCGGCTGCTCTGGCGGTCACCTGAAGTTATTACCTGCGTTTGTCGTCAGCTCGAGCGGCTCCGTGTGTTTGTCCACTCGTCACCAGGTGAGTGGCTCCTTGGAGCACTTTAGATTGTGATGAAAGGTCGGCACATTGTTGTGTGTTTAAACTGCTGCAGCCGCTTGCAGCTGCGTAAAAGTCTGAGAGTTGAAACAGGGGTCACCTTTGACCGCGGTGGGTGTGTCACGTCACCAATCGGTAAATATCAGTTCTGTCCTGAGAAGCAAAATGCGCGCGCTCGTGAAGCTGGATTAATTTACATAAAAGTAGATTTTGAAACCCCCATCAGGAAAGTTGATTTAGTGGCAGCGCTGGCAAACATTTCAAGCAGCAAGATGTCAAAAGTAGGCTGCACCACTCCGCCGCTGCAGCCTTCACCTCTCTTAGGGGGGGGTGATGGCCTGAATGAACTGAAAAGTGTACTTCATGTCATCATAACGCATCACTGAGAAATATTTAATTAGCCTATTTGCTGCATCGTTGAGGGCCCTAGAAATTAAAGTCATTTCCTGCGTTGAAGGTGTCACCAGAGACCCAGACACTTACTGCGCTGAATTATGGTTATGTCATTCACTTTCATCAGCAGAGGTGATCTGAATATGCGATCCTGAGACTATAGATTCTCAATTATGTATAGGTTAAGTGATTTGATTTATTCTCAGATGGGCCAGCAACCAGTTGCATCTCTGTTCCAGAGATGTGCGCTTTGGGGATGCAGTTTAAACACATTCGATGCAACAGACGATGTACTGGTAAATAAGCACTCTTCTGAATGTTATAGGCAGACACCATTAATTGAAATAAGTAGACACAATTTAATGTCACATTTACAGATTATGCCAGAGAGAGGCTCCGAACTGCAGATCCGAGTATTTAGCCCCTCTGAAGTGACCCAAAGTGACCCTATAAAAATATTTATTTCTAATCAGAAAAAGCACGTTTTGTGTGCATCTCCACAGCCAAAATTGAACTAATACATTTAATTTAGCTTGTTGATAAATATTAAGACTTTTTTACATTATTTAATTCACTTTCTGAGCAGTTTTCTCCTGAAATGGTCACTGGAGCTGGTGCCTGTCACAGAAATCATTTATTACAGCTACTGATGCATTGTGGGTAAAGCTCTGTAGCAGAGTTAGCAGAAATGGCTCGGATGTTTAGATAAATGTGATTCCAGTGATACATTTTGGCTTAGTCCCTGCAACTTTCTGAAATAAACACCAGTTTCCATTAACTATAAATCTAACATTTGCATTATGAGCTATATTTCTGCAAAAAAGAAAAATAATATTGCATACAATTTTAAACAAGCAACGCATTCAGTATTAAATAAAATAATAATGTTAAAGTGCTGCAAGTGCTGTAATGCCTTATTTATCTCTAACTGGACAGTCAATTTTTCTAAATTTTCAAAATATGACAGAAACATAGAATACGATTTAGTTGAGTCCTTTAATTTCTGTCTTTCTCCAAACAGAATATTTTAAAAATAGTCACATTTGGATATAAACTATAAACTTCATGTCTTCCTATCTTAATTTTAAATCTTAAATGTGTGGCTTTACATGAATAACATTCAGCAGAAATAATAGTAAAATGTTGCAGACCTTTGTCAGAACAGGTCATCCTGTCTGTTATTAGCTTGTTTTGACTTGTTATTTGAGCTGCTTTCGAGGATGACACTTTGCCCTGAACAACTCCCCTGCAGCTGAAGCGGTATAAATGACACAAACGCGTGATTTGCGCTGAAATGACATCTGAACTGAAGCGCTTTTCTATCTTTAGCACAAAAAGCAAAAATAAACCTCAGGAGACTAAACTTCAATGTTAATTGTTTTATTTTTTCCATGCAGACCCCAAAGTTGTTTGTTTGCTCCGAGCTGCATTATTTATGTTAAGCCCGCATTCTGATTTACAGTTAGCGCAAATTAATCCTCCATGTTAATGCAGAAACACGCAAGTCACAAGATGTTTAGGAAACAAACAGTGTGCGTCTTCTCCTCACTTATGAAGTGCAGTCTGCAAACTCTGCTCCTTTCATTTCACTCTGCATTGTTTACAGCAATATAGGACAGCGGGCCCATAAATCTTCCCCCTGCGCTGCCAAGACAGCGCCATTTGTATGCACCATTTTAACCGACAGCATCCTCTGCCCATTAACGTCTTCTCCCCGGCTCTCTTTCAGCCTCCTCTTATCTGCACAGCTCCGTCCCCTGGACAAACATCAACTGATCCGTGCAGCTCTGCAAAGAAGGAAAAAAATGACGTTTGTGTTTTATTAGGTGCAAACAATTTTGCATAAATGCATGTTTTCTTTGCGTTGTAAATAATACTGGGAATAAAAACGTCGGGTTCTCCTGTGCGCAGACGTTCCCTCTCCATTTTCTAACGGCGTTCTCCTCCTCTGCGCGTTATTGCTATGAAAAATAAAAGTTTATCGACAATTTCCTCGGTTGTTTGTGTCAGCAGGCGAGTGAGAGCGCAGAAGGTAAGGAGGAATTGTAAAAGGGTTGACACCCAGAGCGACCGGCATGCTTTTGTGTGAGAGAGAAAAATGATTTATTGCCGCTGAGGCGGTTCAAACAGAGTTCACGGAGAATTGTGGTGGAGGCGCGGAGGAGCTAAATTATGGTCTTGCTGAGCTAGTATATCACAGATTCTATCTCCAGACTCGGAGTGTGTGTTCAAGGGTGCGAGGCAAGGAAAACAGGGTGGATTTAATTACTTTCGCCTCATTCAGGTACACAAATAATAATAATAATAATAATAATAATAATAATAATAATAATAATGTATTATTTTAAAATAATATGTTTAATTGTACTATATTTTAGGAGACAATTAGTGGCTTCTGCAGGTAAATAACATGTTCTAGTTCATGAGTAAGTCTTTAAAGGTGAGCCATTGTGTTCTTAAGATGACCTAAAATTGTGGGTAAATTTATTTAAGGATAAACCCTCTGGAGTCGTAACTTAATGCACTCTGCAGGTCCAGGTAAAACCTCAGTGATGGTGGCAGCATGGGGTGAGAGGAGGAAGGCTCTTCTCCTCAGCCCTGAGTGCATAATCCATCACTTGTGAGACATCTAAAGAGGGTTTTCTGGACAGCTTTGTTGCACTGAAACACCACAAGGAACTTGGGCTATATATGTGAAGCTTGATTCAACAAAGATTGATACTCGCACATCATATGCGAGAACTCTCTGGAAAAGGTGACACTTTGTTTTATATGCATTATTTTGCATATGTTTGTTGGAATTAACCCAATTTAGGGTTTTTTCTCTTATTTTCTTATTGCAGAACTTATTGAGGCCGCAGTTAATGGAGCTTTTAATGCTAATTATTTCTCGCTGCAGCAAAATTTATTATTGTTTTTAAAAGAAATTAAATTCCAGATTTGATTCTTGCAGCTTCCTATGCTGGTTGTTTTTGTCGAGTCCCTTGTGTGCTGAAAACAGATGCGGGTTCACTTGTCTTTCTTTTGTCCCTTCAGCCATGCAACAAAAAGGAGGACATCAAAAATGCCCACTATGTTGCTTCCCTCAAGTACCAACCGATAGTGCAAAGTGAAGCCTGATTAATGCAAATGAGTTTCTCTATAGAAAAGAAAAATCTTTAATGATTGCCTCCTTTGTCTTTGGGCAGCAATGACTGTCAAGCCTTTGTTTGGCCACTCCCATTGAATCCTAATAAGCTGCACTTGGACAGTTAGGAGCATATGTTATTAAAAGCAAAGCGCCACTTTATTTACATTTTTGAAGTTTAATTTTCTGCTGTGTGGGAAAAACAAACAATATTTTCGTTTTAGAGGCTAAATAGTCTATGGATTCACTGGGAGGAAATAAAGCACAGAAGGAGGCTTTGGTTTTCATTTAGTGAATGCAGCACGTAAGGCAAATTATTTGATTAAGATTCATACACACAGATTGAAATAAATCACATTTTCGCTTGTTGTTTTCGTATTTAGCAGCAGGAACTCGACGCGCTGGTTTGGATGAAACCTACCACAGAACAGCTCAGCTGCAAAACGCGGCTCCTTCGATTCTTCTCCTGATTTGCAATAACAGAAACCGGATTATTAAACGGTCCGCATGCAGCACACGTGTAATCTTTGTTAGTCTCCCCCTCCTCCCCCCGATTCCCTGGGTTTAAGCCACCTCGCTCTCTTTAAAAACTCACGCTCCTTTTCACGTTCCCCTCATACGATTCTCTTCTAAAATCCCCAGATAAAAGAAGCCAGGCTGCTCACAGAAATGTCTGAAGAAAAACCGCACAAGCCTCTTCGGGCGCACCAACTTACCAGAGGATTTTACTTTGCAACTCCAGAGCGCTGCCATTGGCTGATGGACACCACGTGACCACGGCACCCTTCTGGTAAATATTATTCAAGTGTTCCACGTGGTTTACTCCAAAACGCTGTGTCTTGCGCGTGCCTTTTTCCATTCATGTTAATGTGATCTGAAATTAGACGGATCCGATCCGTAGTGCTGTCGGGGGACTCCTGGTTTTATTTGAGACGGTTTGATGAGCCGGGTCCATCATGGACCCCCAACAGTCTGCTGCCCTCCCGTTGCAGCTGCATGATACGAGTTCTGGACAAGTGCCAAACCTGAGCAGTGAAAGTGGAGGAGGAGGAGGCCAGGGTGCGTTAGAACTGCAGAACGTGACCTCTACCGTTTCTTTCAGCTCCAGGTTGGACCCACGTGAAGTTTCTGGGAGCCCACCGGAGCCAGTGGTTCGGTGCCAGGCAATGGGCAAGCTGGACATCAAGAACAGAGGCTGCAGCCTTGCCATCTGCCACTCAGGCGTCACGTTTCCCTGGATGAGAGCTCGGAACACCTCTGAACAATCTGGTAATTCAATTTCTTAATCTGTCTCTTTGTAACAAGATGTGTTACCTTTTCCCCATCTGACTGTGTCACTGTGAGCTGTTTCAAAAGTAAGAGGAAACTTCACTAAAAAGCTGCAGCAGCAGGGAGAAAATGATCACATGACTGCTGAACATTCACCTCTTTAATGTCCACATTAAGAAAAAAAATACAGAAAATGTAAATTTATACATGTTTGAAGAAACAAGGTTTGATTTCATGTAACTGTGATGACGTCATTAATAAAGTCATAACAATGTGAGGTCATAATATGTTACGTTTTGTTGACACCGTCCCAGATATTTTAGTCGTTTTCTTTATTTAACAACAGAAGCTTATACAACAATATTGTAGACACTAAAACAGGTTGACATGTTGTGGTTGGCCTGATCATCAAACGCTTCCATGACGAAACACATAATAAAATCTTTTAGTCAGAAGTCAGAAAATATTTCACCAAAAATGACTAAAACAAACAGACGTGTATCTCAGTTTGGTTTGCAGTGATTGTCAAAGTTTTCAGTAATCATTCAAAACAATGCTTGTTTACTAAAAATATTAAGCTCATATTCTTATCTGGAAAAAAAACTGAACAAACATCCAACGTTGTTCTGAGCTGGGGTCACTCATAAACACCTGAGCAAAGATCTGCAGGGCTCTTTTTTTGGCAGAATAAACAAATAAATACCAAATAAAAACTAATGTGAGATTATTTTACATATATTTACTTATTGTTTCACACCTTGGGCTCTAGACCTACGTTTGATTTTTAAATAATAATTTTCCGTTCTTCAGATGATCTCATAAAATCAAAATTAAACAGAAAAACGATTTTGATTGCACATTTGAAATATAACTGATGTAAATGTTTAAAAAACAGCAAAATATAATATGAGTTGGAGTTGTTTATCAAAATTTTATTTAGCTTTTTCATCAGTTATTATCTAATCAGGATCGCAAGTTGTTGGTATTTTGTTTACCACCAAAAAAAAGTGTGCTGGCACAAAATATAAACAAAATGTTTCCATACCCAAACGGATAACAAAGAAGCTGTTTGTCCTGTTAAACAGGCTGCTTTTCCTCTAATGTACTCACTATAAGTGTTATTAAGCCCATTAACCCCTCTGCATTGCATTGTTATCAACAGGGCTTCAGTAATGCTCATATACATGCCAAACTGAATCCCTGATGGCGGTTATTTTGGTGCTCCCTAGGTACCTTTTAAGTGACTGAGATGGGGATTTGACAGGTCTGCTTCCGTGCGGAGCTCTGATTAATGTGGCCTGTCAGGCAGCCGTAGTGGCGTCAGATGTTTTCCCCAGACTGCGTCTTCGGCAGGGAACTTTCCCTGAACACATGACACACTTGACAGCCAGTCTTGTGAGGAGTCTCGAACATGACTGAATAAGAACTGAGGGCTCCACTTGGTCTCAGTTTGATTAGCGAAGGATTACCATGGGCCTCGCCGGCGTCATCCTGAAGGCTGTACATTTGCAGATGGAGATGTTTGATGTGTGGCCCTTCCTTTTAACATCTCATCTTGTGCTTACCTCCATTCTTCAGTCGGCGGCGCTGTGGCAGTCGGCCAGCCAGGCAGAGGGGTGAGGAGGGAGAGAACAGCTTTCACCAACAACCAGCTGCTGGAGCTGGAGAAGGAGTTCCACTTCAGTCCTTATCTGCGACGTCACCGGAGGCTGGAGATGGCAGCTGGGCTGCAGCTCACCGATCGCCAGGTCAAGATCTGGTTCCAAAACCGAAGGATGAGGCATAAGAGGGAACAACAGTATGGCAAAGAGACAGGTTTGTCCCAGGGTTCTCTGTCCATTCACAGTTCCTGTGTGGATCACCTCAGGCTCCAAGCTGGATATGCTGCCAGAATGTCCTCCTCCCCTGTCTCAGAACTGCTCTCCATGGACTGCACCTTGTCCTCTCTGTTTGGCTCTTTTGGTGATGGCAGCGCTCACTGTCTTCACTCTGCAGACCTTTCCCATTTAAAGTGCATGCTTCCATCTGCTGCAAATGGTCCGCCGTCCTCCTGTGCAGACATGGATGGTCATCAGCATGCCAGCTTTCCAAACTGGCCCTGAGGCCTAATAAAGGCGATCCCCTCTGTGCTCCTAAAAAACCTCAATCATATCTCCACTTACTTATAAAAGACTGGGGGATCAGCATCCCAGGAATCCAATCCACTTAGCAAATCCTTCCATCCTTCATGATACATTTTAATTAAACAAAATGAGCACATTCTAATAAAAGGAAAGCAGCAGTGATAGCATGTGTTTAGTTCTTTTAGACCGCTGGTGCTCATAAAATTCATGAAACACTGAAACATTTCCTTTTTCTATAATTCTATGGGTGTGTTTATGATATTTAGTGGTGATGAAGACTTTTTTAACCTGTATCATAAATAGTACGGTATTTGTGCGAAACGAACAAAAAACTGTTCATGTTAAAATCTTCAAGGTTTCATCCTGCCTTTTATACTCTGGTTGATTCATTGTAACGTTGTAAACTGTACATGCTTAATAAAAGTGTTTGTGTGAACTGCAATCATGTGCAGCGTTTAACCTTAATTTTGTATTGCTCATTAAAAGAATGTTCTCACGAGCAGTGTTTAATGGTTATGCTTTCTTGGAATGGATCCCAAAAGGAGAAACAAGAAGGGATTGCATGTTGAAATTAAAGGCTGCTTTAGATTCATTGAAAAGTTAAGAGTGTTTGTGTATTCAAGTTGCACAATCCCGCCTCTCCCGTTCCTCTGCCTCTGAGATCCCCACCATTAATCACTCAGACAAGCCGGTTTTTCCAGCATTCCAACCACAAGCTCAGAACCCACTGGGCACCATGACAAGATCTCTTGCCTCCTCCTTTCCAGCTCTTTTTTTCTACGGTTAAATTGTGCTGCAAGTTGGGTCTGGCCTCCGTCTCAGGGGGCACGTTAGACGTGGAAGCCTTCCCAACATGCCGCAGGGCCACATGGGACCCATGCTGCTCTGTGGCCAAAGACAACATATTAGAATAAAGGGTAACATGAAGTTGTTTACATCCACTGAGCTTTTATTGAATGTAGATTCTTAAACATGAGCCTCGTCATCAGAGGGTTGTTTTCCTGTCAAAATGGTACATTTCACCGAGGCCGTCTAGGACAGAAGTGGGTCAAACATGCTCCAGGGTTTCCACAGTTTTGCACACCGAGGATAAAGCGCTGCATGATGGAGGGGCTCAGCCTTCTTTTACACTTCCTAATGCGAGTGTTAGGATAAATATTGTAAACAGAACTACACACACATTTTGGGCATGCTGACAGTTTTATATCATTGGCCTTACTGTGAATGAGCTGTCTCAGAGGGCCACTGACAGCTCTGAAACGGAGAGCGGTAAAAAGCTGATCCCCCTCGGTGCTTCTAATGGCTTCCTATACTCCTGATTCATTATCAGTCACCGGATCAGCTGTCATTTGGTAAATATGTGATGCCGGCTTCAGCAGGTTTCAGGAGGTGTTGGGGGAGCCATTCTGTAGAGACGCTTCATATGTGAACATTTTAGAATCAAGTCAAAGCGTAGACCTCATCTGTATCAGAAAAGGGAGGAGGGGTGGCTGAGAGGAAGGCAGAGCAGACGGAGCTGGATTCCTGAGATTCTTGGAGATGTTTGGTGATTTATGATTCCGAATGGAGCAGAGGCTCTAAAAGAGCGTTACTTCTGTTTCTTGAAGCGCTCTCCACCCAGACATGAGCCAGGAGGATCCACACGCTGGAGAGCAGTAATTCTGTTGGTGGGGTCAAGGGGGGTCCCCAGGGGTCAAGGAAAACCTCCACTCAAGGGCCTCACTGGGGGTGGGGGTGGGGGGTGTGGGTGTTCTACATCCAGCTCAGCATTAGGTTAGCCGGTCGTTCTCACATTAGGCCGGTTCTAGTTAGCATCTAAAGTCAATAGTTAGCTCTCATTCCTTTAGCTGCTTAGCTTCACATCTGTCACAAGGGACCATCCGCTACAGCCAAGCATCCCTGAATGTTGCAGCAAAGGATAAACATTTTTAAATCATAGCAGATTTCCATGGGACGACATTTGGTCATGAACAAATCTAAATAACGTTTTTAAGTTATTTTGTTTTAGATATTTGTTCTTTCTGTCCTTAAAAACGATGTCCCCTTAAGAGATGCATGAACTACAAGACACTATCACCAGGAAAAGGTGATTTGATCCACTCAACTGTAGGATCATACAATAAGGAATAACACTTAAACCAAATATAAAAGTTTTGTATCAGTGAGAAATTTGACTTTTGTTTGAAAGAATAACTTAAGATGTTTCTCTTTACTCTTCATCTGCAGTGTTTTTATTTTCTGCAACGTAGCAGGCAACCATTTAAAGTTCACTGAAAACCCATGCATTTTTAATGATTATTTCTGATTATAATCCGTCACTCTGAGTTTTTCATAACAGTCGAACATGAAACTAGCCACCTAAACCTGTCTCCTGCATTAGCAGGGGAAGGCTGTTTTTGGTTTAAAGTCTGGGAAACAGCAAAGGGCCTCTCAGTTTGCAGAAGCTTACCATTAGCGTTAGCAACTTAATGACACAGCAGTATTATTTGTGGAGATAAAACATCAACATTGCAAGTCAGTGGTAGAGTTGCATTGCTGTTATCCAATCCGGGGTGAGATGTCCAAATATCAGGAAATAAGACTCCAAAATCTGCCATCTGAACTTCTCAACTTAGGGTGTTTCTCAATGTCAAGGCGCCTGGCCTTGCGAGATGATGTCTTGCGAGGCCAGGTGCCTTGCTTACTAGGACACTGTCCTTCCATGGTCAAAGAAAATGGTTAAATGGAACAGACTTGCATCACGTGACCGTGGCTTCCACAGCGGTCACGTAACGTCACGTGACCCGGGAGACAACATTGTATTTTCAATATAAATATATAACGAGCCTTTTACTTTTTAAATAGTGTAAATGTTTATTAAATTAAAAATATAAGTGAGTTACTACCCACTAGCCACCAAAGCTGCAACTACTAAGCAACAAAGCAACATTTGATAACTTCTTTGGAACTAAAAAAAACATTTTAACCCTTACCCAACGTTTAAATTTTCTAACGTTAAAGTCATTAGAGCACAAAAAAATGCACTTAGAAAGCTTCCTTTAGAAATATTATATAATATTTCATAAGTCCCAATTTTTTTACATGAATTTCATCCTTGGCTTCAGCCCTAACAAAATATAATAAAATATGTGTGTGTTTCTCAGATTTAACCCCTTCATTGCCAGGTTTATTAGCAAAACCCGAAGTTTGAAAACTGTACAAAAAATGAAAAAATCAAATCATTTTTTGTGTGTTATGTCCAGATTAACTTTTTTGTGGGTAAGTTGTCACAGCCTTGGAGTGTCACAAATAGGCATAAAAATATTTTTTGCTCACTTTGTAGTTTTTGTGTAATGTCACATTTTCTAAAATACTCACGTTAAAGTCATTAGAGCACAAAAAAATGCACTTAGAAAGCTTCCCATAGAAATATTATATAATATTTCATACGTCCCAATTTTTTTACATGAATTTCATCCTTGGCTTCAGCCCTAACAAAATATAATAAAATATGTGTGTGTTTCTCAGATTTAACCCCTTCATTGCCAGGTTTATTAGCAAAACCCAAAGTTTGAAAACTGTACAAAAAATGAAAAAATCAAATCATTTTTTGTGTGTTATGTCCAGATTACCTTTTTTGTGGGTAAGTTGTCACAGCCTTGGAGTGTCACAAATAGGCATAAAAATATTTTTTGTTCACTTTGTAGTTTTTGTGTAATGTCATATTTTCTAAAATACTCACGTTAAAGTCATTAGAGCACAAAAAAATGCACTTAGAAAGCTTCCCATAGAAATATTATATAATATTTCATAAGTCCCAATTTTTTTACATGAATTTCATCCTTGGCTTCAGCCCTAACAAAATATAATAAAATATGTGTGTGTTTCTCAGATTTAACCCCTTTATTGCTAGGTTTATTAGCAAAACCCGAAGTTTGAAAACTGTACAAAAAATGAAAAAATCAAATCATTTTTTGTGTGTTATGTCCAGATGACCTTTTTTGTGGGTAAGTTGTCACAGCCTTGGAGTGTCACAAATAGGCATAAAAATATTTTTTGCTCACTTTGTAGTTTTTGTGTAATGTCATATTTTCTAAAATACTCACGTTAAAGTCATTAGAGCACAAAAAAATGCACTTACAAAGATGACCAGTTGAACACTTTATTAAAGCACACGAACAAAGAAAAAGTGTGTGTGTGTGTGTGTGTGTGTGTGTGTGTGTGTGTGTGTGTGAGAGAGAGAGAGAGAGAGAGAGAGAGAGAGAGAGAAAGAGAGAGAAACACAGAGGGGAGTGAGCTAACAGCTGCAGGCTGAGCACACAACTGTTGAGTGCTCCTTGCACACAGCCTGTCCACATGCATGGCAAAAGCGTGCATGCACGCTCCTCTTCCCTCTGCAAAGGTGGCATCTTTTCTTTGTCTGCTCCTGGGCTGGACCTGGCTCCACTTGCTGCTGCACCTCCAACAGAGCTGCAGCGCTGCTGGACCGCGGCAAGCGAGTGCGCCTCGCCTGGGCTGGTCTCACCATGGAGGTCCCAAGCTCCTGCAAGAACAGCCTTCGACGGATGCTCCTCTTCTGTTGGTTCCAGGCCGGTTCCACAGACAGCCACAGGACCAGGGCATTGTAGGCGCTCACATCTAACATGTTGCAGAAGAGCGACATGGGCCAACGTCTGGTCTTGCGGCGGCAGCTGTATGTTGCAACGAGCTGGAATAAAAATAAATGAATAAATAAATTACATATGCAATTAGGTTGGTGAATTATAATAAAACAAAATAAAATAAATAAATTACCTTGTCCAAGTTGTCAACTGCCCCTTTGCAGCGGTTGTAATCGATGATTACGGTCGGCTTCTGCTGCGGTCCCTCCTGGATCTGAACCTATGGGGTTTGGTGCCGAGGAGCAGAACGTTCCGCCGGCGCTTTGGAGTAGCTCACCGCGGTGGCGGTGGAGGTGAAGCCGAACAGGGAGGACAGAACCGCTCTGCTTTTCATCTGGAGCAGCTGTGGGGGCAACTCTGGCTTGTTGCGCCTAACTGTTCCCAGAAGACAGATTTTTTTTTTAGCAGCTCCTCTCCAAGAACCAGCGAGGTGAAAAAATTGTCCGTGGTGACAGTGCGGCCGCTCAGACCCTCCGTGAGTTCCAGCACCACCCGCTTCCCTTGCCCCCTTTCTGCCGGGGCGTCTCGAGTCGTCTTGCCCAGATAGGGAATAATCCCCCAGGCATAAGAAGTGGCCACATCGCACACCACCCACAGCTTGATGCCATATTTTGCCGGTTTTGAGGGCATGTACTGCTTGAAGTTGCAGCGACCTCTGAATCCGACGAGCTGTTCATCAATGCAGACATCTTCACCGGGGTTGTAGGCGAGAGGGAGCCGGGCCGCCCAGAGGTCCCACACTTCCCGCAGGGGAGCGAGCTTGTCCTGCTGCACCAACCGGCGGGCTGCCCTGGTCAAGCGGTCATCAAAGCGCAATGTTGCAGTCAGCATGTGGAACCTTCCCAAACTCATCGTGGCT